AAATTAGCATCCGAATCTATAATTAAGCAATATTAACGTAAAATTGGACGTAACAAAATTACAAACTGTGTGTATTATGGAATAAATAATATATATAATATATATATCATGAAGCGTAATATAAAGGTAGCTTGCTTTTGTAAGATGTGCACCCAACCATTCTTGTTTGGGTCCCTTACACCATCAACACTACGAGTAAAGTACTTTGGTCGCTTACACTCCGTACTGATGGTGCAAGTCTTACACCACTGGTACTGCGCGTGAGGGATCCCCAGCCCCTGAGGCTGTTAGGCAAATGTTCCTCCTTATCTTGTCCAATTTTCTGAGCTCCCTTCTCTCCCAGATCCGCTTGCGAAGACCACTATAAATTAACTGTCGTGTTTTCAACTTAGGGAGAGACAACTTCTATGATATATTATTTATGGCTAGCGGTCCGAGTTACAAAATAGCTGGAAATTAGCATATTTGTTTTAAGTTTAGGGTAAATAGTTGTTCAAAGGTTAAACTTCACTCTTTTTATCAAGATTATGGATTAGATTATGACATATTTAAAACGCACAGCTTATTTTTCTATCATAGAACAAGCATCTATAGAAAACGAGAAGTAGCCGTGGAAGATAAGCCAACCTGTCCTCTTACAAAGAACGTTGCATTTGTATCGTATGCGTTAAATTAAGCCAAGCAATTTCGTACTAGAAAATGGAAGCGGCTGGCGAAAGTGACGTATTGTCCCATTTTCTGTTTTTGGGTCCTCTGGTAGGTTAGGAGAGACCACTTTAAATTAACCGTTGTCTTGACGCTGGGAAACCTTAGGAGGACGGGCTGGATAAACACAATAATGCTAAGATACAGACGAAGCGTTTTGAAAGGCTGCGATCCGAGTTGAGGGGTGATTTGTGTATCAATTCCCCTCGCTTTTTGCCCCTCGACGCCGCTCCCCCTCTCCTCTCCATACGATGTCGTACGTCGAATACATTAGCTTTGGTCTCATACTCTGGGAACACCCCAGCAGCTCAACGTACGCATAGAAAACGGTGTCCTATAACTTTTATAAGGGGGGGGGGATAACATTTTGTTTTTTATTGAGAAAGGATTATCGAGGGAAGATTTTGAGATTATGTATGTTTTTGTTTGTTTGTTTTTGTTTGTTTGTGTGTGTGTGTGTGTGTGTGTGTGTGTGTGTGTGTGTGTGTGTGTGTGTGTGTGTGTGTGTGTGTGTGTAGAAAAAATAAACAGTTCATTACAGTTGATTGATTGACATTTCAGAGGCGGGCCCAAAGAGCCAGAGCTCAACCCCCGCAAGCACAACTAGGTGAGTACAAACACACGCACACACACACACACACACACACACACACACACACACACACACACACACACACACACACACACACACACACACACACACATACTTTTAGACGAGTGGTCTATAAACAACATATAACAAAGAAAGCTTTAAAGTAAACACGATAGATTTTGCAAAGGGAGACTGGACGTCACGAGAGAGAGAGAGAGAGAGAGAGAGAGAGAGAGAGAGAGAGAGAGAGAGAGAGAGAGAGAGAGAGAGAGAGAGAGAGAGAGAGAGAGAGAGAGAGAGAGAGAGTACCGCATTGGGAGCGGCGTGGATCAATGGCCAGCCGCTGTACTTTGCTACTCTTGTTATGGCTATGAACCACCCAGCCAGCCAGGCTGATAGACAGCCAGCCAGCCAGGCTGATAGACAGCCAGCCAGGCTGATAGACAGCCAGCCAGCCAGACAGCCAGCTAGTCAGCCAGCCAGCCAGGCAATATCATAATCAATTCGCATTCGGAACCCAGAACATTATTGAAATATATAATATATAATGATAAACACCCAGTGTTATAATAGGAAGTAATTGACTGTAATTAGGAGCTAAATCGGCCGGTTGGTTGTAATTAGCTTTGGATTGGCGAACTGGCTGACCGCTAACTATATTGGCCGTCAGTTTAAATTGGGGTTATGGTCTGTTAGCCGATACAGTCTAAGAATATTTAAGAATACATTTTTTTTCTTCTATAGGGTTAGCGAATATTTTTAATTTTCTTATAATTATTTTTGTCGGGGACAAGTAGACTGTGTAAATATACTTTATATCGAGGTGGCTTTCCTCCTCAAAGGTAGAACTACTGACCTTCCCCACAACCCCCGGGTACCTATTTACTGCTAGGTAAACAGAGGCATTAGGTGAAAGAGTAACGTGTCCATTAGTTATACGTTGAAATAGTTGTAGCACTAATATGAACAGCAACTTTATGTAATTATATAATGAAATAATAATAATAATTATTATTATTACTATTATTTTATTATATATTTATTTAAAATAATGTTCATGCTAAAATGATTGGAACAATCCCGGGCGGATTCCAACTGTTGCAGGTTGCTCACATAATGATACATCATACCATTGGTGCAATGTTGTCGCCACATTGAACAAAATATTGTACAAAGATTTGGAACTTAAGCGACTTTGGCCAAGTGGAAATGTTCTTTGAAAACTAATCATGGATCTGAATCTTTGAATGCCATCAGTATACTTGTATGAGTATTGCTCTCTAATGTGTTCTTAAGGGGACAGGTATACACACCAGGTGATGTATACCCGACTTCTGGGTGTACATGTAAACTGAGAGAGTACTTCAGTTCTGGATAATGTTCAGGATTATAGTATTCTTGCTGATTGGACAGAAAAATGCTTAGTGATCAATTGTGAAATCAGAGGCTGATTAGCATTAGCCCAACACCAAACTAGATCAGTATTTATTAAATATAGTGTAACCTTATTGTAGCGTACTCTTAGGGAAGAGTGTATTCCGTAGTTAAGTACACCAGGGTACTTTACCTCAGACAAGTACATTCCAGTTTACTGTACCCCAGGGAAGTACACTCTTGTTTACTGTATCCCAAGGAAGAATCCTGGAGTGTAGTGTACCCTAAGATAAGCACAGCGCCCATTTAGCACTCAGTAAGACCCACACTAGGTGCAGCCGGACACCCTTACCTAAGATATGGGGCCCGTGAAGGTATAAATATTTGTCCCATAGGACCAAGGGCTGCAGATCAAGGCATGATGCTGTCTCTTGAGCGGCGCGTATTTGCATGCTAAGTGAGGTATATATCTTGTTGAAAATGTTGGAGCTTACCTATCAACGGGAGAAGGGAGAAAGCCGCTAACTGTTAGCGTCTTGGGTTCCGCCTCCTCTTATCATATCTGCACCCATGTTTTCTCGTCCTATAGCCTCGCGTTAGTAAAATCCGTTACTTTACCTTGTCTGTTCGTCTTGTTTATTCCCATCAATATTTTGTACGTAGCGGTGATGTCTCCTCTGGTCCTTCTCACTCTCATGCTTCACATAATAAGGATACCACGCTGCTGCTGCCTACTCTAGAACTGGTCTGACGCAGGTTGTGAATATTGTATTCTACTCTAATGTTACATCGCAATTTAAACTAAAATATAAACAGATAAAGAAATTGTGTCAGTGTTGCCACCCCACCAGCGCCGAGCACCTTTCATCGATCACCTGTTAAATTTTCAAGCACAGTGTCGGGGTTTTACCCGCATCGACTTGGTACCTTACCTGCGCCCCCCCCCCAGGGAGGAGGGGGGGGAGGGGGGCTGGTGGTGTTAGCTGCTTTAACATCACTAAAGCATCGGAATTTGAACGCTGTGGTCGATAGCGTCAAAATATCGATGCATTAAATGTGAATACTATGCCTACGTTCTCGATAATGCTTTTCATGTTTTTTATGTGTGTTGGCCAAGAGTATAATAATATAACAGTATTATACTTGTACGGGGTAAAGTGACTGTGTATACTGGTCACAGTTGGGTACACCTACTGTTAATGTACAGATCTACTGGTCACAGTTCTCCACGCTTACCGTTAATGTAGACCTCAAACTCTTTATGCCTCCGCGTGGGCTGCCATGTCACCCTTATTGACCTGATAGACCAAACGTTTATTGCTTATCTCAACTCGCGTGCAAACTTAAACATTAGTCAAGCGGACCTTTGACTTCAAGAATAAAAAGGTAGTAATTCAACGGTGTAAGTCTCTGGCGCGTCCCCACTTGGTTTACTGTATTCAGGCATGGAGACCTCATCTTCAGAAGGACATAGCGGGTCTGGAGAAAGTGCAACACCGGGCAACAAAAATCATTCCAGAACCAAGTCGACACCCATACCAGGAACGGTTGAGGGCCTCAGGGCTAACAACATTGCAAACCAGACATGACAGGACTGATCTTATCGAAACTTTAAAGATACTGAACAATTTGGAGAACATTGATAACTTTTTTTCAAAAGATCAGATGTAACAATAAAGAAGCAATGGTTTCAAGCTCAACAAGCCACATTGAAGGACTGAAAACAGGCAAGGCTCTTTCACCCATAGGGTTATAAACCCAAGGAACCGCCTACCCGCCCAAGCCGTAAATGCCAAAACGCTGATGAATTTCAAAATTCAGTTCGATAAAATCATCAGGACAAATGAGGGGGAATCTTTTACAAGCCGCCGGCTTCCTGTCCTCGTCGAGGCCACTAGAGAGATAGCGTCCCGCAGGGAAAGTTAGATAAATTCAGCTATAGTTAACATATGCTCTGGCTAATAATATATTTTCTAAGTGGACATTATCATCACTTGTTACGTGAACATTATAAGTAAAAGTGTTCCATTTTAATTGTTTTTCTTTTGTAGGCCAATAGACAGAAAGGATTTTATATGATTGATTTTTATAATCTTATAAAAAATTAAAATTATAATCTTATAATTTTTATATGATATAACTTTTATAAGTTCTTATAATTCCTCCGCTTCTTGTGTTTCCCGCGCTCATATTTGCCAGCCTACAGAGGCAAAGTTAATGATAATCCATTTACCATGGAAAGTCAGATTGGTTTTAATTTTTGTTTCATGATTGCCAATAAGTTTCATTTAAACAAGATAATAAGGTAATATTGTGCTTGTACAGATGAGATATGGCGCACTGATTTGGACTTCCTCGTCCCCCACAACGATCGACTGATGGTCCTTACCGTCAACTCCAGCAATATCAATCCTGAGCTACCCCCTTCAACCCTCAACCCCGAGACCATCACCGACAACCCTCTACACACCGACCCAACCCAAACCAACCCAAAAATGACGCCAACCCTCACCAAAGAGACCAAAATGGATATGAACCCATCCCAGAGCCTCCCAAGCCTAGCGGAACCAAAGGCGACCACAACCCGCGTCACGGTGCTAGAATCACTCCGTAAAACCCAAAAGGATTCCAGTTACCACCAAGATAGAAGAGGAACTAGAGTGTCAGATGGAGCACGGAAGGAGAAGACATCTTATGCCAGGTTACCTGAGGATGGCAAGTGGAGCCCCTTGTCTGCAGAGCTCCTCAACTACACCATCGCTCTTCTGGTATTTGCTATCAGGTAAATGCGTTACTTTATTCTTCTTGATGTCATGTATTGCATGATGTAAAGCAACGGTAGTGCTTGTGCATTTTCATAATAATATATATATATTTTTTTACAAAGGATTACATTAAGGAATTCAAACAGCAAGAGATCATTTGATCTGAACTAGGCTGTTTATTGAAAACTTATGAGATTACTTTACACTGGATTGGACAAGTAATTATCGATTATTTTTTAATGCATACATGGTATTACACTGAATTATATCTGAAAATTGTTCCGCATTTTTACTATTTGATTAAATAAAACGTATTTTCTTCGAATAAAGAAAATATATTGTACTTCAATTAACAGAAAACATTTTGGTTTGATAAAATAAAATGTATTTTGCTTCAATTAAGGAAAACATATTTTACTTTAGTTAAAGAAAGTATGTTTTGCTTCAGTTAAAGAAAAAAATAAAGATTTTGCTTTGTTAGAAAACGTTCGCCTTTAACTTTCAAGCTACAGTTAGACAATGCAAAAGTAAAGTTACAGAAATAGAAAGTCAAATTTGCCTGAGGGAAAAACACTAGGCTGGTCCAGGACGGACCGAAACGTCGTCGTCCCTTCACCTTCTAGTATGTTAACGTTAAAGCCTTATCCTCTTCTCGTCTTGCAGGTACCCATCCGTATTCTGGCACACCAACAAGGCTTTTGGTCTGCTGTTTTCCCTTCAGTTGATTGTGAATGGTATACACACTATCCTCATTATCACTGCCTTCACCATACTCTATAAGGTTGGTACTGAGTGCGTTCACAGTCTCTTTTAAGTTATCACTAAGACTATGAGGTCTATAGATACCCAGGCCATCAAATAGTGTCAAGAGAATGATGCAAGAGGAGTTATATATTTCCTAAGTCCTTTATACTATTACATGATCAAGAACACCAGATTTAAAACTAAACTGCAAATAATTTAGAATATTAAGATCTGGCCAGAGTCGTTATACTATAAGATTTAACCAAGGTGTAAGGTATAGCTATAGAAGCTAAGGTAGGAGATCTAGCTATGGTATATGATCTAATTATGATATAAGATCTAGCTATAGAAGCCACAGTATCTATACATACGTTTTTTGAACAGTCAGTTGTGGTCTAGTGGATATGCTAAGGTGTATGGAGAGCTTGGCTGTCTGGGTTCGAACCCTTTACGGGGAAGAGTTTCCTAATATATCTATATATATTGCAGCTACATGTGTGTGACAGTTCGAAAGAGCTCCACGGTGGAGAGAACTTCCTACTGAATCTGCCAGCAACTGTTGGGCTGCTGGTGGTTGCTGTGATGGTGGTCACTGTATCCTCATCAGCCATATACTATTATGGCTACCAAAAGTTTACTGATTTTGTGGTTAAGAGTCGCCAGCGATATCATATTACAGTAAGTGGGACTTGGACTTTTGTAACAATGTTAAGAACAATGATAATAGTAATAATAACTGATAGTAATACTAATTATTATTAATACTAATTAATATTTATAATAATACAGTAAGATTATTTTATATATATATTATATTGTGGATATTTTAAGGTGGTTATATAATAGGTAAAGTAATTGTAGATTATATAAAGCCGCTGTCCAGTAGGTAGTTTTTGGTTGTTTTAACTTTCGTGTGACGTCAGCCACTGACGGTGGTGTCAGCCACTGACGGTGGTGTCAGTACTAACGGTGGTGTCAGCCACTGACGGTGGTGTCAGTCACTGACGGTGGTGTCAGCCACTGACGGTGGTGTCAGCCACTGACGGTGGTGTCAGCCACTGACGGTGGTGTCAGCCACTGACGGTGGTGTCAGCCACTGACGGTGGTGTCAGCCACTGACGGTGGTGTCAGCCACTGACGGTGGTGTCAGCCACTGACGGTGGTGTCAGTCACTGACGGTGGTGTCAGCCACACAACCATCGCCCCACGACTACTCAGTAGGCTATCAGAGCTTATTACTCACTGTTTCTCCTCTGTAAGTCACTCCTTCCTTAGAAGTTAAGCTTTGTTGTCATTCATGTGGTGTTGTCTCTATTGGTCAGTTTCTTAAAGCTCTTTAGACTTTGGACAGTAAATGGATGGGCAATCACACGATCATAACCTTGCTGTGAATTGGTGAGAAAACCTTAATTGAGAAGTCGTGAGCTCCCTCTTCATGCTATAGTATATAACCCCCTCTCATATGTTTTTTAGTATTTAATACACTGTACTGTATATTAATTGTTTTGGAGAAATTTGACTAAAAATCTGTATTTAATTTTTTCCAGTACGATAATGAGCCAGATTCTGTACGCCCATACGCGCCCCACTGCGCCGCCCTCGTTGTGCTGGTGGCTATGGGCGTCTCCCACGGGCCGCTGCTGTGGGATCTCTCCCTTGTATACCGGGGCTCCCTCGATGCCATTGTTCTAGCTGCTGTCATTGGTTCCATTGTCCACCTGTTCCTGTGGATTGTTCTCTGGCTCCTGCTGACTGTCAAGGTACGCATCAAGCAAGAATACGTTTGGGGTTTGCATTAGGCTAGTAAAGAGCACTAAAATTCGATCAATCACTTAAGGTATAAACGTCATCTACTATTGAAGTGTGCTTTCATCTTGATGTTTCTCTATATTGTTTATATTATGGATATTTTGCCTTTTTGTATATCAACTTTTTGTGTTCATACGAAAGTCCCAAAAGTTCACTTTATTCTTGTTTCTAATAATAATAATAATAATCATAAGAATATTTTATTCATAAAGTATACAAGGATTATGTTAGTGATTCATTAGTAGCACTGTATGTTACTACTATGTATGTATGTACAATTTAATCCTATGTATTAAATTGTATGTTACACGAAGCCCCAATTTATGCATATTGTTTGTAAATGATATGTGAACTTAAGAGGTGAACTACTTACTGTTGCTTCGCCAACAGTCATCCTGGACCTTCAAGCTCCGGGTGACCGTGGGACGAGCGTGTGTCTCGTCGGCTCGTTCCATCAAGCTGGTCAATGATGTGGAGTTGGCCTCCGGGGACCCCCACAGTCAGGCCCGCACGCCCCTGCTGGTGGTGGGGGCGGGCAAGGCCTACGCCATCAATGATTCTGCACCAAAGAAGACCATTATGAGTGTTGTACAAAAGGTAAGCGCATTATGACTGAGTATATGTATATATATATATATATATTATTTGCTTGCTTCTTGCTTATTTCAATTTCTTCTCTTACGTGCTTTTATGTTTTTCTTTTATAGACTTTTGTTTAATTTCAATATCATTGAGTTTAGTTTCTTTATATATTTATGGAAGGGATCCCTCTATAGCTGCTAGAGTCTAACTCAGTCTCCAGCAGTCTTCATCGGGTAAATCCAGCACTATAAAATGTATAATGTTATATAACACTATAACACCAGGCCTCTGAGACCCTTCCGTTGGCCACCAAGAGCCAGGGCCTGCACCTGGCTCACTCCACGAGGTCAGGGACGCTGGCCATCACACATCATCTACAAAATCTAGTTTAAAATCCCAAGAGAAGATTTAATCACACAAAAAATGCAATTGGCCAAAATCTCAGAAATAAGGTTTCCCAAGAGAAACGAGGACAATTTTCATTTTCACGGTGTAATTACCCTAATTCTGATGTCCTTTAAGTGTGGCTTGGCGAGAATTGATTTAGTACCTGCTGTGAAGTTGACATTATGTATCTGAATTGGATCTGTCCTTCTTTAAGAGTGCATTCAATTATTGCTTTTCTTGGCTGTGGGATGACACCCCTGGCTAGCTGACAATGGTTTATTTGATTTGAGCAAATACCAGTAGTACTGTACTGCCATACTCAGGCACTTGACTAGGCTGTGCCTCCAGGGACTTACTTACTGGCCGCCTCACTACAAAAAGACATTTCGTTTCACTGAATACTATTTTCTGAGATACAATAGTTTATGTCCAATGTAGCAATTGGTGCACTTATAATGAACTGTATATACCGAGATGCCGATGAAATGTTTGTATGTATTAGACAACTTTAGTTGAGAATTGATAAAGAAGTGCATTACAGACTCACCAGGAGAAGCGTGCTCGAGGGGAGGAGGAGGAGATCTACTGGCTCCGTCCCAGCCAACCTGTGCGCTCCACTTCCCAAAGTAAGCCCATGTCACCCAGGGCTAAAGTGACCTTTGACGAGGGTGGCATCTTGACCTCTCCCAGGTATATATATATAATTCTTGAGTACCTGTTCACTTCTAAATGTGTGTTTTATAATTCATCTATTACCATAAATATTTCGTTATGTAAAAAATATTAAAGTCTGATATCACAATTACAAAAAAAAAAAAATGACATGCTCTTAATTCCCATTTGCACAGACAGATTTTCAATAGGAAAATTACTTAATGACTTTTTTATCAGAAATTCATATTGTGATATTCTTCACAGAAAAGGTAAAGTCACCAAGGCACCAAAAGTTGAAGAGTCTACTTACCGGCGCGTCACAACTCTCTCAGACTCCGAGGACGAGGCCGGAGACTATGCTCTGCTCACAGAGACCCCACAGGTTAATGACCCACCTCAACAGGAGGAAACCCCAAGATACGTTGACAGACAACAGGTAATGGTTATTCAGATGGTATAAATGTATTGTCATATATCATGGCTCATATAGTGTAAGCCACTGGATCTACTTCAATGTAGGTTTTAACATTTAGTATCCTATTGTTGAGGTCAGGAAGCTTGTTAAGCTTATGGAGAGACTAATGACTCACCTCCCTCAAGGATGTAACCCACAACAGTATGCTTAGCTCCCAGGGGGGCCAGATTCACGAAGCAGTTACGCAAGCACTTACGAACCTATACATCTTTTCTCAATCTTTGGCGGCTTTGTTTACAATTATTAAACAGTTAGTGAGCTCCGAAGCACCAGGAGGCTGTTTATAACAATAACAACAGTTGATTGAGAAGTTTTTGTGCTTGTAAACTGTTTAATAAATGTAACCAAAGCCGTCAAAGACTAAGGAAAGATGTACACGTTCGTAAGTACTTACGTAACTGCTTCGTGAATCTGGCCCCAGGTACCTATTTACTGCTATGTGATCAGCTTCAAGAACTGGACCACAGCAAACTGTGAGGGGGGGGGGGGGGGTTCATGATATGCAATTGACAATTAAAAATATCTGGACATGTAACTGCATCTCACTTCAAATGTAAATGACAAGAACATAGAAACTGTCCCAAAGGCCCCCAGCTTTACTGTCCTTATCTCTTCCAGATTCTCGCATATCGTCGAGCAATGGAAGAGCGGCTGTGTCCAGCAGCCACCACCACTACTACAGCTGTCCCAGACTACGAGGACGCTGACCACCTCAACCTTCGCAGTCCTCAAGCCTCCCACCACCTGGACACACAGGTAACACACACACACACACACACACACACACACACACACACACACACACACACACACACACACACACACACACACACACACACACACACACACACACACACACACACACACACACACACACACACACACTGTACTAGTCCTTATCCCTAAAAAGTGGGTTGAGTGTTCTTGTGAATGATTCGTTACCTACAATCAAGTCCCTGTTTTAATAATAATAATAATAAGGATAAAAATAATTATTATTAATAACGTATTCATTGATAATTAATTGTGTCGGGGGACAGCCAGCCAGAGTGTGTGTTCATATACGTTTGGCTTATATCGAGGTTCTTCTTCTGAGGTCGAATTACTGGTCCTTCCTAGGATACAACCCCACAACAAGCTGACTAACTCCTGGGTACCTACTTACTGCTAGGTGAACAGGTGCATTAGCTGATAGGAAACGCGCCTAACCATTTCTGTCCCGCTTGGGATTCGAACCCAGTTATTGTGTGTAACTGGGTCGATTGTGGTGTCGAGTTACTCGTCTCGACCAGTTACTCAACCCAAGTGGGTCACATAACTGATTAGATTGTGAGTCGAGAACGAAGCCGATTGTACTACTGAGACCCTTATTAGAACATTAGAACATGTTACATTGATTATTAGTTGGTAAATATTGTATATCATATAAAGCAACTAATACGCAATGCACTTTAGGCATAACTTAAAATGTGAATATACTGTATTGTAAAGGTGAAGGAAAGACCCAGTTTATGTTCAAGTGTATTAAAAACCAACATTTTCCGATGAAACCTACACATTTTCAAAATGTCCTGCACACAATGTTCAGAACATTGTATTCAGTGCCTTGAGAAAGGATGTATGTTACTTCAGAAAATTTTGTTTATACTTACGTATGACTAGACCCACTAACACAAATAGGGTCTTTCCTTCACTCTCATTCAAACACTACGCCACTGTAGTACGCTTCTCCATGCTGTATTGTGTTGAAGAGCATTGAATCTCGTGTTCTTTATAAATATTGCAAACATTCTTAGGTTAGCTTTTAACCCTTAACCTTTACACTGCTCCAGTCTTCTTAACCCTTACACTGCTCCAGTCTTGTTAACCCTTACACTGCTCCGGTCTTGTTAACTCTTACACTGTTAACCCACCAATCTTTTTAACAAGATTGGAGCAGTGTAAGGGTTAACAAGACTGGAGCAGTGTAATGTACTCATCCACTCCATAAACCTACCGTGTTCCAATGAACAGTAATAATGAGTTTTGTTAACGAACAGATTTGTTTAGTAAATTATGTGTATGCTGTGGGTACCAGAAAGCATATCAATTTTAGCATCACAAAATTAGTAATGTAAAAATAATTGTCATGACAGACGTACTTTCTGTACCACACTTACCTGTAGCAATGGCTTTCGTTTGTGCAGGGCCCGATGACTCCACGTAGCACCCGCAGTAACGACTCTGGTGTTGCTCACGAAGATCGCTCCCAGCGCAGTGACTCGGTCTCAACATCGTCTTCTAACACGCCACCAGAGAACTCTGAGGAGTCTGGAGTCCATTCTGGTGCTACAGACATCATGAGACACAGGTGAGTCATCGGGAATGTTCTTGAGTATGTTGTTGTCAAAATAAAGTATTTTAAATCTTAATAATAATTTGTGTTTATTAAATATACATAGGAATATGTTATAGTGTATAATTTGTAGGTTCAGAAATGGAATATTATATAAGGCCACAAATTACATACAACATTTTGAGCATGATAGTTTACTGTTATGTGTGACAAAACATCTGTCACATAAAATATCTTCAGTTTAAAATATCTTCTGTTACTGGGGGAATTCAGATATTAAAGGAACGTACTATTGTAGATGCCCTTTTTGTCTCAATCTTGTTCTGATCTTGGGAAAATGGGTGGGGCTTATAGACGCATGAGTAATTGAAGGAAAATAGCCAGAATCAACTAGCTGTAATTTATTATTGCATAACCACATTGTAAACATTTATGTTGCAGGTCCAACAGTGTGGATGATCTGACCCAGCTACCTCCTGACCCTAGTCACGTGTTGACTCCGCCAAAGGCCATGTCCATGCCTCGTCCTTTAATGGGCTCTGGCAGTCCCTTTGCATACACTTGTGTTGGTGGGAATGTGTCTGCTGGCACAGTGTCGCCTGTGCCAACGTCTATATTGTACCCAGCTGCAGAATCAACAGTTGTCATTCGAAGGCAGCGAAATCTAACACAGGAAATCAAACCACCCGTTGATCCAATTTATGGCACGAGACCTTTGACCTCCTTCACAGATCAGCAGCAACAGGACACCAAGAAGAAGAATACAAATGAAGATTTAATGGCCATTGCACAAAACAGTTTTAACAGCAATCAGTCAACAAATTCAAGTGGTTATCATAGCAGTGCTAATGGTAGCAGCGGCAGTAACAGCTCTAGTAACTCACCCGTTCCTCAACACCCAGGTTCCTCTTGCTCTCCCGGACTACCTATTTATGGACAAAAACCTCCTCACGGTGGTATCCAGAATATCTATGGCCACACGAACCGTTCAAACCCAAGAGTTAACTCTCACAGTCCACAGAGTTTGTATGGTCGTACAGTTTCTGGCTCGAGTGCATCTGTCAAACTACCCCAGGCACCACAGATCCCCTTACCACCTATTCCTCAGGGTGCTCTACCACCAGGTGCAGTTCACCAGAGTTCATTGCAAGATATTTATGGTCGCACTACTGGTCAGAAGATTTATGGGCACCTTGGGGATTCCAATAGTATTTATGGCACGGGTCCAGCCAGACATCCAGTGGGCCGCTCAGTTAGCTTGAGATCCTCCTCGGGGGCAGTGCCCAAGTACAATATGGGTGGGTTTTCACATTCATCCAGAGAGTCTAGTTACAATACGAATGTGTGAGTTCATGTAGAGATGATGTTTTTTAGGGTTAGAGTTAGCATTTGATGTTGTTGCCTATGTTGTGCCAGACTAGGTCAAAAACTCTCCTTTTTGTACAATATCAACATGGATGCTACAAGTGGATCTCACTGAAAAGTCTTTGAACACATTTGAGCTGTCATGCGTTAATTTATACTTGTGTGCTCAAGAGAATATGAAATATTTTACCCGTCCATTCCTGGTGACTGTAAGAGTGGGAGGGCGAGGCTTCACATAACACTGAGCCCTCTCTTGTCTCATATCCTATGAGGAATATATATTGCTTGTGTGTTGCTATAGTACTTTTTGAGACATTAAATGTATCAAATCTTATGTACATATCTTACGATAATGGCTCAGCACAGTACACATATTCATGTTTATTACATATTTACTTGTGCTCTAAAGAGTGATGGCCATAACTGTTATATTTTTTGTTACTAGTAAACTGTCTCATATTTTAAGATGAACTGCTGATCAAACGTGTGGGAAAACAAATTTGTTTTGTGGTAGATGTCTGGGAGAACAAAATAGTCTTATGACAGATGTCTGGATCTTGTCTGATCAGTGTTTTAGTGATTAACTAAATATAAAAACTATATTTAAATATACTGTTATTCTGATTTGTAAATATTTCATATAACATTCATTATTTCATCATGATTGAAGAAATTGTTATATTTTTATCTGTTTTAGGTATTGTGTCATCAATTTTTTTCTGTTTGAGCATTCCTACATAACTAAGGAAATTACAACCAGTTAATTTATTGATCTTCTCAAGCCGAGGATGAAGACACCTGTACTATATGAGCGTCTTCTAGTGCATCAACAAAATCACCCAAATATTCTTTGAAGGGCAACTTTTAAAGTTTAGGGCTTTGTGATCTTAAAATTATCAAAGCCTCTTTAAAGACGTATTCACGTGTTAAACTAACGAGTGTCAGAAGAGTGTTAGTTGCATTGTGACTGGATCTTAAAGCCTTATTCCAATGCACTTGGAATTAATGCTGATGGTCTAATTTTTGTTTAACTAATGATGTTTTCAGCTACAGTATTTGCAGACAAGGATAATATTGATATCACGAAATTGTTTTGCAGAAATATGTGGGTATGAATAATCCTTTTTCTTCTTCGCTAACCTACTAATACCACCACCACCACCACCAACACCAACAACACCATTACTCATCGTCTGCACCATTACCAACATCACTACCTCTATCACCATCACCATTTTCACCACCACCACCACCACCAATATCATCACCATCACAATTATAACCACAATTATCATTACCATCACAATTATAACTTATCATTATCATTACCAGCAGCACGACAATGACCTTCACCAACACCGTCATCACTCCTATTACCCCACTCACACAGGGTGGGAAGGTGTCCCTCTATAAGGGGTGTTAAACTATACTGCTTCTACCTTCTATTCTAACTAGCATTATAGAAACTAATACCATCATATAGGAAGCTAATATTGTACTGTACTACCATCATGGGAACCTAGTACTACACTACCATTTTGGGAAATTAGTACCACAGCTTGTGTCAGTCACTTCAGAGAATTCATCCTTAATGAGTCCCACTTAAGTGATATTATTATTATTACAAATAATGTAGCTATTAACATCTCCAGTATTTGATCTGAGCTGTAAACTCTTTGGTAAACCAAAGAATGATGTTTGTTTACATCTGCCATAGATCTATGTATATGAGTTTGATGTATATACCTTAAATAAGTTTGTAAATATCATTATACATTCAATACATTGAGTTCTATTGTCATATATTAAGTCTAGTTAAACATTATTTTAATTGTATTGTGAATTGTATATAAGTTGTAAAGTATATTAATGCATCTCTCTAATTCCATTATGACTTTTTAATCTTGATCAAAAGTTATCCACATACAGTATATACAAAATAAGATACTGATAGCTACTTTGGATTTATATATTCAGAGATTAAATATATACTAGAATTTTGTTCCTTCTTGTCAAAGTTATGATTAAACAAATTTAATCTTAGTTAAATCACAGAAAAGTTAGATAATAATATTTAGAAAAATTATCTAATTTTTTCCAAACGCATTTCTTGTGCCAAATATTTGATCCGTAGCAGTGTTCAGGCCTGTGAGAAAACCAAAGGAAAAATGCTTAGGTGTATGTTAAGGGTAAATTCAAGTTGAGTTTATCTGTAGTGTATGTACATACTCAAAATACTGTACTGTATCTGATTCAGGCAATAATTGTTGTTATTGTGGATTAAAAGTGTGTATTAGATATGTAAAATATTATAGTGTGGTGATTGCTATATAGCAAGTGTGTGTTAGGTTGCTACAGATTGCAAGAGGTATTAGTAATGCCAAAAGAAATCACATTAACATGATGTATCATTGAGAACATCAGTAGGAGCAGTGAGGAGGATTCGAACCTACGCTCAGGGTACTACCAAGCACATGCCTTAGACCATTACATCATGACATGAGTTAAAGCAATGTACCCTGGGATTCACCTGAATCCTCTAGGGGTCCTGAGGCTTCAACTGACCACATGTCCAAGGTGTGTGCTTGGGATTACCCAGAGCATAGGTTCGAATCCTCCTCATGGCTTCTACTGATTTTCTTCGGTATTAGTAACGCCTGAAGTCTGTAGTGACAAATTGATTACCACAATGTAAAATATATGTTGTTTACTGCTTAAACAGTACACACATAACGTTATCTCCTTTGTGTGAATTTATGTGAGATTGTGAGTATGTTCCTATGTATGTGTGAACACATACATGCAGCATTTATATGTACACAAGTAGGCATGAATGGAAACCTATTGGTGAATACTGTATAAGTGGATGATGTGTTCTGTATTGATAAGGAGCATCATGTATACACAGGTACCACAAACGTGAAATCATGTGCATTTACACAAATTTGTATTAATAATGCCAAGTAATCACATACCTTACTGAGGTACCATCTACGTCTTCTAAGATTTACTGAGGACTCTATGTCTGCCAAGAATTATTGAGGTATCTTTGTCTGTCAAGAGTTACTAAAGTGTCCGTCTGCCAAGATTTACCAAGGTATTATCTTCGTCAATAAGAAATTATGGTGTATTCCTCTGCTCTTCATGTTAACTTTGGCTGTCAAAGATGCTGAAAAGTTAACTAAGCTAAACAGGAATGAGGGTAAAACTTCCATTGTTTACTAATCCTCTGTACAAAGCTCTGCCTCACCACGTCATTATCCTCCGCAACAGTACAATAAACACTAATTAAGCAAGCAAAGTATTGTATGTTGTAGATATTGGTGATCTCAATGTGCTTCAGTCGTGTTTCATAGGATGTAATAGAGTAATGAATTTTCCACACACATTACGACCTGTTAAGGACCAATTTTTATATACTTCTCTCGTTTGCTTGGATGCCTTTTCTAGTCTGTCAATACTAAGCTGCATGTAGACCAGTGGTTGTTATGCAGTATCCAAAGAGTTAACTGAAAGCAAATCTGCCTGGTACTGCATAATTTTAGTATATATAATTGGATGAATTATTTTTATAATTATATAAATTGTAAAATTGCCAAATATATGTGTGTGTGCCTGTTTGCAGTACTCTGGGGTTCCTGTATTCAATCTCAACTATCAATGTTATTATTTTTCATTGTTTTATAAGGAGATTATCTATGTAATTGTTTTCCAGCATAATGCCAATGTACTTGTATCAATAAAAATACCTTCAAAGGAGATTTGGTTTCGGTTTAATCCTCCAGTTTTATTGTAGACTGTGGAAAAAAGTGTTTCTTTTTTTCTTATTATTACATTATAGTACTTTAAGTTTTCAATATGTTATTTAACGTAAAGATTTTAAGGAGGGGGGAGGGGCTGTTACTGGCTTGTAGGATTACTGTTGCAAGGAACAGGAAGCTTTTTAAGATTATTGAAGTCCCCTTACCCAATGGGCAGGCTACCTTACCTTGGGGTTACCTTGAGGTGCTTCCGGGGCTTAGCGTCCCCGCGGCCCGGTCGTTGACCAGGCCTCCTGGTTGCTGGACTGATCAACCAGGCTGTTGGACGCGGCTGCTCGCAGCCTGACGTATGAGTCACAGCCTGGTTGATCAGGTATCCTTTGGAGGTACTTATCCAGTTCTCTCTTGAACACTGTTGAACATAGGCTGTCCTATGTGGTTACCCATCCAGTTACTGGCCAAACCTAATGGTGTTTTGTCTGACTGAAAGAATGATGGAAATTCATGTGTTTGGCTTGAGAGAAAGTTTAGAGGAAGGAGATGGAAGAGAGGACTAGAGCAGTGAGTGAATGATAAGGGTTGTAAGGAAGGAGTATACCTTGAAATACTTGAAGCATGTTCTGGGGCAATAAGTGCCATGTTGTGATACAGTTTCGAGGTGTTTGTTTGAAAATTCAACTTTGAAATAATAAAGGTCCATTATGTGCCTCTGTAACCGTATCCAGTGCCACTCATAGTATGAGTATGAAGTCTCCAGCCTCTCTAATAATAAGTACCATTCCACTACTATTCACATAATGAGTTTGGGGCCCACTATCACTCACAAGATGGGTAGGGGTTCACTACAACTCACATTTAACTGAATTTACCTGAGAACCATTATCTCTTTAGTGGCCTCGACGAGAACGGGAAGCCGTCGGCTTGTCACACATCCCCCATTTATCCTGATGATTTTATCGAGCTGATTGGTAAGAGTACAACTGCCACTCACAATATGAGTATGGGATGCACTCACAGGATGAGTAAGAGATTCACTACGAGACACAGTACGAGTATGGGGTCCACTCACAAGTTTTGTGCGGGATACACTACCACTCACAGGATGAGTATAGGGTCCACTACCACTCACAGGATGAGTATGGGGTCCACTACCACTCACAGGATGAGTATGGGGTCCACTACCACTCACAGGATGAGTATAGTGTCCACTACCACTCACAGGATGAGTATGGGGTCCACTACCATTCACAGGATGAGTATAGGGTCCACTACCACTCACAGGATGAGTATAGGGTCCACTACCACTCACAGGATGAGTATGGTGTCCATTAATATAAACGATGTGTTTGGGGTTCAGTACCGTTTATAGAATGAGTTTGAAATGTAAAATAAACGAACTAAATTAACAAACATTTCATATTACTGTATATATTTATATTAAGTTTAGTTTTACTAAACTTATGAGCTCCTAATTTCATAAACGTAACAGGCTATGAAGAGTTAACATTTTTTGGCCATATCTCCTAAACTAGTAATGTAACTAGCTCCATATTGATATTTTACAAAGAAAACTTCACCAAAGAAATGTAATAGAGTGCGGTAAAGGTTCTCAGCAAGGTTTCAAAACGTTTTGATGGCTAGTTTTGATTTTGACTTTGAAGTAAAAAGGAGTTTCGCGGTCGCAGGCGTCCCGGTCCAAGGAAGTGATCGGTTCATCTTCTCTTGGGGAGGAAAACTGTCATATATTTGATAAGAACCTTCCGACGATATTCTTATTTTAAAAATATTTAACCTTAAAATACATTTAGCCTTAATTTGCATAATTCTTTGAAATAACTAATAATTAAAGTGTTAACAACTTAAGCACTTGTGATCGTTTTAATAACTCTTCAGAAGTTAATAGACCTTAAGCCCAGCTCCAAGCCAATTACTAACATGTTTAACCTGACTGTCCGAGCAATGAACACATCAAAATTTATATTCAAAATATATATACAACCTAAATATATATAATCTAAGCTTTAGTGTTATTGTAATTATGACTATTACAAAAATATTTGTATCTATACAAGAGAATGGCTGACTGTTTGCCCGAGGTTGGTGGCCAGAGGCAATGGGCTAGCTTCACTCAACTTTCCAAGATGATACATGGGGGGTATGGGAGCGTCATAGGTCATTTTGGGGCTGGCCTCAATGCCATTTATAGAAACTTCAGCATCTGTACTCTACAGCAAACCCCTGAGATTTTCTCGGTCAAATATGAAATCAGCGATGTGTTTTCTGTAGTTATTAATAAGGGTTTTTCAGGACTTTTGTAATATTTTTTTTAAAGAGAAGAGGGGGGAGAAGGGGGAGAGAGACCCGGACACTGCCGGGTAACCTTCTGCTGTTTAATATACACGTTAAAATATTTTTAAAATAAAACTATAAATTCAGGTAAATAATACTAATTAATATTTAATTGTACGTTTATTTTTTACAGCTTTGTTGATTTACATACATACAGTATATATGTGCTCGGCAAGTTATAGTTCGGTGATTTACAGTAAATTCAATATAAAGACTTTGTTTCTCTTTGTTTATATTATTTTGTAAAAGATGTGAAGCAACAAATCTCCATGATTAGTTTTTGTTGATTCCGGTCTACCCGTCGATAGATGACGTCAGTCTGTTAGTTGATGACGTCAGCTTCTTGGTAGGTGACGTCAGTTTTTGGTTAGATGACGTCAGTCTATTAGTTGATGACGTCTGCCCTTTGATAGATGACGTCAGTCTGTTAGTTGATGACGTCAGTTCCTTAAGATGATGATGTCAGTCCACTGGTTGATGACGTCATCACTTGGCTGACTATATCACCCTTTCGGTTGATGACGTCAGCTCTTTGTCTCTCTGCGGACCCTAGATTGGCATACACACTGACACACTGACACACTGACACACACTGACACACACTGACAACTGACACACACTGACACACTGACACCTGACACACACTGACAACTGACACACACTGACACACTGACACCTGACACACACTGACACCTGACACACTGACACCTGACACACACTGATACACTGACACCTGACACACACTGACACACACTGACAACTGACACACACTGACACACACTGACACACACTGACACACCTGACACACACTGACACCTGACACACACACTGACAACTGACACACACTGACACCTGACACACACTGACAACTGACACACACTGACACCTGACACACACTGACAACTGACACACACTGACACCTGACACACACTGACAACTGACACACACTGACACCTGACACACACTGACAACACTGACACACACTGACAACTGACACACACCTGACACACTGACAACTGACACACACTGACACCTAACACACACTGACACACACTGACAACTGACACACACTGACAACTGACACACACTGACACCTGACACACACTGACACCTGACACACTGACACCTGACACACTGACAACTGACACACACTGACACCTAACACACACTGACACACACTGACAACTGACACACACTGACACCTGACACACACTGACACCTGACACACACTGACACCTGACACACACTAACACCTGACACACACTGACACCTGACACACACAGACACCTGACACACACTGACATCTGACACACACTGACACCCGACACACTGACATCTGACACACACTGACATCTGACACACACTGACACCCGACACACTGACACCTGACACACACTGACACCTGACACACACTAACACCTGACACACACTGACACCTGACACACACTGACACCTGACACACACTAACACCTGACACACACTGACACCTGACACACACTGACAACCGACACACTGACACCTGACACACACTAACACCTGACACACACTGACACCTGACACGCACTGACACCTGACACACACTGACAACTGACACACACTGACACCTGACACACACTGATACCTGACGCACACACTGACACCTGACACACACTGACACCTGACACACACTAACACCTGACACACACTGACACCTGACACGCACTGACACCTGACACACACTGATACCTGACGCACACACTGACACCTGACACACACTGACACCTGACACGCACTGACACCTGACACACACTGACACCTGACACACACTGACACCTGACACACACACTGACACCTGACACACACTGACAACTGACACACACACTGACACCTGACACACACTGACACCTGACACACACTGACACCTGACACACACTGACAACACACTGACAACTGACACACACTGACAACTGACACACACTGACAACTGACACACACTGACACCTGACACACACTGACACCTGACACACACTGACACCTGACACACACTGACAACTGACACACACTGACACCTGACACACACTGACACCCGACACACAGTGACACCTGACACACACACTGACACCTGACACACACTGACACCTGACACACACTGACACCTGACACACACTGACACCTGACACACACTGACACCTGACACACACACTGACACCTGACACACACTGACAACTGACACACACACTGACACCTGACACACACTGACACCTGACACACACTGACACCTGACACACACACTGACACCCGACACACACACTGACACCTGACACACGCTGACACCTGACACACACACTGACACCTGACACACACACTGACAACTGACACACACACTGACACCTGACACACACTGACACCTGACACACACACTGACACCTGACACACACACTGACACCTGACACACACTGACACCTGACACACACACTGACACCTGACACACACTGACACCTGACACACACACTGACAACTGACACACACACTGACACCTGACACACACACTGACACCTGACACACACACTGACACCTGACACACACACACACTGACATCTGACACACACTGACACCTGGCACACACTGACACCTGACACACACACTGACACCTGACACCTGACAGACACTGATACCTGACACACACTGACACCTGACACACACACTGATACCTGACACACTGACAACTGACACACACACACACTGACACCTGACACACACTGACAACTGACACCTGACACACACACTGTCACCTGACACACACTGACAACTGACACACACTGACAACTGACACACACACACTGACACCTGACACACACTGACAACTGACACACACTGACAACTGACACCTGACACACACTGACAACTGACACACACACTGACACCTGACACACACTGACAACTGACACACACTGACGTCTGACAACTGACACCTGACACACTGACAACTAACACACACTGACAAAAGACACTGAAAAATGGCAATGACAACTGACACAGCTAAATGTATCAGTGTGTATCAGTTGTCAGTTATTTATATATATATATATATATATATATATATATATATATATATATATATATATATATATATATATATATATATATATATATATATATATATATATATATATATATATATATATACGAATAAATATATATAACCTAAAATTAGGTCACCTTAAGTCACAATATACCTGTATCTCTATCACAACTCCCGAAGATTAACGCTAAGCACTATACAATTTTCTGTACAGTTAAAGAAACGCCTAATCTTAAATAATAACAATAATAAAAATAACATTATAAATAAGGAATAATAATAGCAAGAATATGCAACAATATTAATATTATTATTATTATTATTTATATAAAAACTGATGAGAGAATTTTGAACTTCAGTTGCTATACATTAAAGATTAAACACCAGAGACACTGAGTTAGATGCTTGCAGTTGACAGTTTCACTAGATGGACGTAAACAAAGAATTGTCTTATAAATAGCTTGAATACAATAGGTGTACATAAAAAGGTTAACGCGGCAGCTATATACAATAGGTAAATGTCGACTGGTATTGGGTCTATGGAGCCACAATTAATGAACAAATCCTTCAACGTCATCAAAACCAATTGTCAACAGAAACTAATTTGGAAAATCAGACATAATTTGTAAACTTTAAAAGTGTGAAGACATTATTTTAAGATAATTACCAACAGGAGTATTCATATAATGACCAAAATAGGTTGTAGTCGCAATTGTAGTCACGAAATTGGTAACACCGAACATTTGAAATGGATTATCAGAATAAATAAAATTTTCACAAGATCTAAACCCATAACGAAATTCACCATTCAACCATAATTGTTTAATAATAACAACTCCTGCAAGTAAAACACTGAGCTGACGGTACCAGCAACACACCGGCCACAACTCGTCATAACAAGTAACACTAAAACAAATAGCACCTTCAGTTATAAATGAAACCAGTGCCTGCAACTCTCCAAGAAATCGGTACCTGCAACTCTCCAAGAAACAGGTACCTGCAACTCATCAAGAAACAGGCACCTGCAACTCATCAAGAAACAGGTACCTGCAACTCATCAAGAAACAGGTACCTGCAACTCATCAAGAAACAGGTACCTACAACTCATCAAGAAACAGGTACCTGCAACTCATCAAGAAACAGGTACCTGCAACTCATCAAGAAACAGGTACCTGCAACTTATCAAGAAACCAGTACCAGCAACTAATCAAGAAACAGGTACCTGCAACTCAACCAAACAGAAAAAAACAGCACCTGCAACATAGACAAGACATAAAAACAGTACCTGAATATACAGACTAGAACGAAAAAAAATATTTCATGAAATACAAAAGAGAGAAAACAGTACCTTCAATACACAGTATAAGAGACAAATGATACCAGGCATCGAAGACTAGATATAACAGTTCCTGCCACATATTATTTGAATATTTGTACCTGCAACACTGACTAGACAGAGAAAACGGTACCAGCAACACTGACTAGATAGAGAAAACGGTACCAGCAACACTGACTAGATAGAGAAAACGGTACCTGCAACACTGACTAGATAGAGAAAACGGTACCAGCAACACTGACTAGATAGAGAAAACGGTACCTGCAACACTGACTAGATAGAGAAAACGGTACCTGCAACGCGAACTAAGAAAAAAACAGTTTCTACAACACGCTGCAACTCAAAATAATGGTACCAGCAATGCAGACTAAATATTAAAACTTATTGTACATACAACTGAGGAAAAAGACAATAGGTGACGCTGAGTAAGCTCATGGAACATACATAAGAAACTGGAAACGTCACACACACTAAACATCACAGTCCCTGCAACACACACTAAACATCACAGTCCCTGCAACACACACTAAACATCACAGTCCCTGCAACACACACAAAACATCACAGACCCTGCAACATATTTTTACCATAAACAATTCCGAAAACACAGGCAAAAATATATTGACCCAAGTATATATATCAAGAAACTTGACCATCATATAACATTTGTTTTTTGGAATTAAGTAGTATTCAATATCATTCATCTATTTAAATTTGTAAACAAACATTATTTTCCGATGGAGATGCCAACACAAATTGTGCAGTAAATCTTGAATAATCATACAACTACTAGAATCAGGACATGAATTTAGTCGTAATTCCATATAACAACTATATTTCCTGCTACAACTGTCAGATTGATTAAAATTACCTAAATACAGCTTCCTTCGACGAAATCGAAAATCGAAATAAGGCAACACCAGCAACACAAACGGGAAGCAAGACAATTGAGGATGTAGTTCAAGGGTAATAGATGTCAGTAACTTAAATGAAAAGTATTTGGTTGTACCAGCAACACATGAAGAGTGTTGGGCTGTACCAGCAACACATGAAGAGTGGCGGACTGTACCAGCAACACATGAAGAGTGGCGGACTGTACCAGCAACACATGAAGAGTGGTGGACTGTACCAGCAACACATGAAGAGTGGCGGACTGTAACAGCAACACATGAAGAGTGGCGGACTGTACCAGCAACACATGAAGAGTGGTGGACTGTACCAGCAACACATGAAGAGTGCCGGACTGTACCAGCAACACATGAAGAGTGGCGGACTATACCAGCAACACATGAAGAGTGCCGGACTGTACCAGCAACACATGAAGAGTGGCGGACTGTACCAACAACACATGAAGAGTGGCGGACTGTACCAGCAACACATGAAGAATGGCGGACTGTACCAGCAACACATGAAGAGTGGCGGACTGTACCAGCAACACATGAAGAGTGGCGGACTATACCAGCAACACATGAAGAGTGTTGGGCTGTACCAGCAACACATGAAGAGTGCCGGACTGTACCAGCAACACATGAAGAGTGCCGGACTGTACCAGCAACACATGAAGAGTGGCGGACTGTACCAGCAACACATGAAGAGTGCTGGACTGTACCAGCGACACATGAAGAGTGGCGGACTGTACCAGCAACACATGAAGAGTGTTGGGCTGTACCAGCAACACATGAAGAGTGGCGGACTGTACCAGCAACACATGAAGAGTGGCGGACTGTACCAGCAACACATGAAGAGTGGCGGACTGTACCAGCAACACATGAAGAGTGCCGGACTGTACCAGCAACACATGAAGAGTGTTGGGCTGTACCAGCAACACATGAAGAGTGGCGGACTGTACCAGCAACACATGAAGAGTGGCGGACTGTACCAGCAACACATGAAGAGTGCCGGACTGTTCCAGCAACACATGAAGAGTGGTGGACTGTACCAGCAACACATGAAGAGTGCCGGACTGTACCAGCAACACATGAAGAGTGCCGGACTGTACCAGCAACACATGAAGAGTGCCGGACTGTACCAGCAACACATGAAGAGTGCCGGACTGTACCAGCAACACATGAAGAGTGCCGGACTGTACCAGCAACACATGAAGAGTGGCGGACTGTACCAGCAACACATGAAGAGTGCCGGACTGTACCAGCAACACATGAAGAGTGGCGGACTGTACCAGCAACACATGAAGAGTGGCGGACTGTACCAGCAACACATGAAGAGTGCCGGACTGTACCAGCAACACATGAAGAGTGCCGGACTGTACCAGCAACACATGAAGAGTGGCGGACTGTACCAGCAACACATGAAGAGTGGCGGACTGTACCAGCAACACATGAAGAGTGCCGGACTGTACCAGCAACACATGAAGAGTGGTGGACTGTACCAGCAACACATGAAGAGTGGTGGACTGTACCAGCAACACATGAAGAGTGGTGGACTGTACCAGCAACACATGAAGAGTGGCGGACTGTACCAGCAACACATGAAGAGTGGTGGACTGTACCAGCAACACATGAAGAGTGCCGGACTGTACCAGCAACACATGGTAAACTTTACAGTAAATATCAGTATTTATGATAATAAATTCCATAGAATATCATTTACAAAGCATTAAATGACCCATCAATCAATACACAGGAGCTGCACTGGCAATCCCATTACATAAATAAAAGTCACACACATATATATAACGGAACTATCCAAAGCAAGACAGAAATGGGCGCGTTTCCTTTCATCTAATGCCCCTGTCCACCCAGCCGTAAGTAGGTACCCAGGAGTTAGTTTGTTGTGGGGTGGGGGGGGGGATACAAACCTAACAGACACGATGAATAACTATAGACACGATGAATAACTATAAAGTTTCTGTACAAGAATATCAACTAATTAAATTGTAATAGAAATGAGTAACTCATTAAGCATAACATGAACTCATCATCAATGAACATTAACTGTAGCTTCCATTATTTTCTTGACCAACTATCGGGACGCAGTCAACATTTATAAAGGCAAAACAATCTTATTATTTAAATCAGATTATAATAGTACAAAATGCTAAGTTTAACTAGTGGGCGTGACTGAACCTGCAGCACAGATGGGCAAGTGTTGTTATTTTTCTGTATCGGCAACACTGACTAGTTGAAGTTACATAGATTTAGACGTTATCTGTACTTAGAACACAGACTAGCGCGCTGGCAACACCAGCAACTCACATAAATTTGGTGTTGGCGGTACCATCAACTCACATAAATTTAGTGTTGGCGGTACCAGCAACTCACATAAATTTGGTGTTGGCGGTACCAGCAACTCACATAAATTTGGTGTTGGCGGTACCAGCAACTCACATAAATTTGATTTTCACGGCACCAGCAAAACTAAATGAATCTTAACTGATCCCACTAGCAAAAAGGGTTAATTTTGATGTAAACATGAACAATAGTCAAAAGCTGACGATAACAAAAATTTGAGTTGAGAGTATCAACACAATGAACAAATTTTGAGTTGAGGGCACCAGCAATATAGATTAATTTTGAGTTGAGTGGAACCAGAAATACATCCTAGTTTTGAGTCGAGGGTTAGCAATAATATAATCTAATTATAAGTTGGAGTACCATCAATCCAGCTAAATGTTGGATGTGAGGGTACAGAAACAGACTAATTGACAGTACCAGCAACACAGGCTAACTTTCAGCTAGCAGTACCAGCAACACAGGCTACGTTGAGTGTGCTCGCATCACAAGCTCAGGTACCAATGACTGACACACACACATTGACGCACTAATATAGGCTGATAAAATACGAATTAGCAACCCCTCAATATCTCGACAACAGTTGCCAGTTGCTCACACATTGTTGGTACCGAACATCTGATATATATATATATATATATATATATATATATATATATATATATATATATATATATATATATATATATATATATATATATATATATATATATGTATATATATATATATATATATATATATATATATATATATATATATATATATATATAAAACACAAATATTATAACTACAGTTTACATAAGCAAATTTATACACATCTCATACCTTACGAAAAGTGTGATGAAATGTGGAGTAAAATTTTTCCCAATAAATACGTTCTATTAGTAAAAAAATAAATATATTTCACTAATGTACTCTATTTAGACTTGATTTTTTCTTTCAATGCGGAAAAAAAACAATGTTATGTCACCTTGTGCAAGAGTGTATAATGCTATAACCGGTATATGTGTTTGATATATGGGTATTGGAGGTACCTGCCTGCACATACAGAACCAGTACAAAGAGAGAGAGAGAATGAGAGACAAAGAGAAACAGAGAGACAGAGAAAGAATGAGAGACAGAGAAAGAAAGAGACAAAGAGATTCCGCTATTATTAGCCAACCACCGGAGAAAAAACTAAAACAATTGAAAATAGCGAATATTTTCTCAAAAAAAGAGAGCCCCAGGCCCCCTGTGAGAACAACCATTAGGCCTAGAGGGGTTGAGAACTATCAAAAACTCTAAACCACTCTGATCTCTGAAACAACCAGGGGCCAGATTCACGAAAGCACTTACGAATGTGTACATCTTTCCTTAATTTTTGACGGCTTTGGTTACATTTATTAAACAGTTTACAAGCAGGAAAACTTCCCAATCAACTGTTGTTATTGTTATAAACAGCCTCCTGGTGCTTCGGAGCTCATTAACTGTTAAATAATTGTAAACAAAGCCGCCAAAGATTGAGAAAAGATGCACAGGTTCGTAAGTGCTTGCGTAACTGCTTTCGTGAATCTGACTCCAGAGCAACTACCCAACCACACATGCCATCAAGCGACGATAGGATACAGAGAGTAAGTATCTGTCGAAATAGGAAGGATCTCTACCTTTTTGAAAACAATGAGTGAGAAAATGGTTGACATTACGGTTATTGAGATAGATGAAATCGTTATCAACTCAGGGGCTAAGCTTTCTTTCATTCCGTGCAACAATTGAAAACATTGTCTTTATATATAATGTTTCACCCACACGCGCCGTGCACACACACACACACACACACACACACATACATTCATATACATTAACAACACACACACACACACATTATATATATATATATATATATATATATATATATATATATATATATATATATATATATATATATATATATATATATATATATATATATATATATATATTTGCTGTACAAAGTAAACACATAATACAAAAAATATATAAAAATGATGGCTGATTATAGGAAAAAGATGCTCCTTTGTAATATTTTGTATTTAGCTTAAATTTAATATTTAGGCTATATTTTGATTCATGGTCTGCCAACGGAACTTTCTGTATAATAACACACACACACACACACACACACACACACACACACACACACACACACACACACACACACACACACACACACACACACACACACACACACTACTGCTTATCACTTACATCACAAACTAAAAATACAATGATTCATAAATTCGTATAAAAAACAATTTGATACAAGAAATATAAACTGATGTTGCCAGCATCAGTCACTTCACAGGCTGGAGTTATCCAACGTCTCAATAATATATATATATATATATATATATATATATATATATATATATATATATATATATATATATATATATATATATATATATATATATATATATATATATATATATATATATATATATATATATGACTTAAGTGAGAACTAACTTAAGTGAGAACTTAACTTAAGTGAGAACAAATTCCAGATAACATTCAAGTGATAGCTAACATTCAGTTGATTCTGATTCCTGCCACTCAAGTAGTGGCCAACACTTAAGTGGCAGCTAACACGTAGTAGCTAACACTTAAGTCAGAGCCAAATACTCAAACCATTCCGAGCATTAAAGTGGGAAGAAGACTAGAGGGGGAGTGGTATTCAAGGATGAATTAACAAGTGGTACTGAGAACACTTAGCCTAAGTGTTCTTAGATGCTGCTTAAGGTGGTGCTTAAGGTCTCTCCTTTGATCACTGGCCTGTGTGTTGTCTGGTACTGGGGGGGGGAGGGGGGAGGGGGTTGGGGGGTTAGGGCGGTGATGGGGGGAAGGATGGGGGGGGGGGGAGGGGGTGAATTGGATAGTTAATGTTAGAGTAGGTGGTTGAGTTATGGTAGATTGTAGTGGTTGAATGGGCGATGGTCGACGAAATAGGCGGTAATGGGTGGTCTGAAAGGTAGCCAGGAATGGCTGGTAATGGTAGGGGAAGAATTTGGTAGTGGTGGTGGGGAATGTTTGGGTAACGGCGGGGGAGAAGAGGGGCTGGTGGGCTCACATATCTCAATATTACCCTACCTAAGTTCCCTCTTACACACTAATAATATGTCTCCTTAACACCATCAACCTCTATTACACATCATACTAAATAATATTAACATAAATTCTAGATTATCTGCTAAACATGCGTTAATAATCATCAATGAATCAGTGTTTGGGCCAATTATCACGTCCTAAGTGGCATCAGTTAATGACGCGGGAACTTACAGGCCAATCAGAAAGCGCAACGTGTCATCAACTGATCAATGACAGTAATATTTGAGCCAATCATCATGTACCACGTGGCATCACCTGGTGACGGGATAACTTGCCGGCCAATCAGAACGGACTACGTGTCATCAGTTGATCAGTGACGTAGGAAATTCTGGGCCAATCAGCGAGCGTGACGTACAATCAGCTAATGAGTGACGTATCTAGTATCGAATCGAATCGGTGTGTTGGGAGTCACAGCGTCACAAAGTGCTTATTGCTGCACATGCGCATTGAAGAGATAAGACCCAACCTCCCTGCCCTCCCTCCCTCTCCCACCACCCCCCCCCTATAAAGGCAGGAGACTTTGATTATAGTGTACAATACAACTGTACTAATAATACAGTTGCTCTTTTTTTTGTGTGAGAAATACAGCTGTAGCGTGGCGGAATGAAGCTGCAGTGTGAAGAAATGCAGCTTGAATATCAGAAATATTACAACAGAAGATCTTCTCAAAGCTTATACAGTACATGACACATAATTCACTAATGGTAAGAGAGACAAAAGTTGTTCAGGTCGGTGGTAACGCGTTCATGTACGGGTAACACGAGTCATTAAAAAAGGTTAACATTTCACCAAAAGTTCGGTCTCGAGGTTGCACAGGTCACCCCTTGAAAAATCTTTGAAGAAAACGTGTTTTTTTGAACATGTTTTGTTTTAATCCAGCCTCCAGGCTTGAAGTAAAACCACACACACACACACACACACACACACACACACACACACACACACACACACACACACACACACACACACACAGACGTATGTTTCAAAGTCAAATTTTGGAAACAATCGGGAGTCATAAAGGTCAACAGCCTTAGCACACACACACACACATACATACATACGTTTTGAAATTGATTTAATCTTGCGATAACTTACTTACTGGACACGATGGCGTTAGTTGATTGACAGGTTGACTGGTTGAGTGAATAAACAGGTGTATGTGGGGGGAAATTGTTCTTATACACACACACATACACACACACATATAAGGAAGGTGTCTTGGTATATGTCTGTCGTCCACACACGGCAACTGGTATATACTTTCCACACGGTATTTTTTAACTTGCAAGGTAGATACTCCCCACAGCGGAGGCGGCGACACCCATCTTTAAAGCAAGTTACATTTCCTGTAGAGGTCTATACACATATCTTCACTAAGCTATACCACCGAGGGTTATTATACACTCACATATTCCACCCATGTAGTACCAACAGGAGTGATAGATATATATATCTATTCTCACCAAGCAGTGTCCACTCTATAGCGACCTCGGGTCTCACCAACAAAAATAAAGGAGATAGAGACTTGAGTTTCGAAGTCGTCCTAGAGAGAGAGAGAGACGTCTTCGAAGTCCAACACAACTGATGATGTCTAGACGGTCTGTGAAGTCCCTCTTCCTCACACAATCACAGGTGTGGTGTGGGTACTGTGGGCGGCATGACTGCTGTGGGCGGCGCTGTGGGCGGCTTGGGCGGGTTCAGGGCTGGGGGTCAGATGTCCCAGTAGATCCTCCATCAGGAGCTCTTGTCTCTCCTCCAGGTCCTCGGAGGTGTCCTGGTCGTCCTCGGGGTCGTGCTCGTGGCGGGGGACGGGGGAGTAGGACGATCCCCTGGGGGAGGCCTGGGGGGTACGACCACCCCCCTTGTGCTCCACCCGCCACCTCCCACGACCCTCCTCCGTCGCGTAGCCCGAGTCACCCGTCGCTCGCCCGCTGTCAGAGTCCTCCTCGCTCCTACAACACTCCTGTCAACGGTTAATGCTGTCATTCTCATCACTCCTGTCTAAAGGTGTGGCTCTCATTGCCACTGTCAACAGCTGACAGCGCCATAGTGACAGAACACTAAAAACGAATGTTGCCACAGGTCCAAATTTAATGTTTTATTCCACCACTAAATCCTGTGGTGCCATAGATCCCCCTAATAAACCTGCCAATCATAAATTACTAAATACTTATACTGCCAAAGGCTATTAAATCTAAGATTGCCATAAACTACTAAAACTTACGCTGTTATAAGGATGATATCACTTATGATATCATCCCATGGCATTGTGAGGATGCATATACTATAAGATTGACATAATTCTAAAAAAGATAAATTGCCTGTATTATATACACTTGTTGACCTAAAGCAATGTATGGAGTTGTATAGGCAATGGGGCAGTTGCCACAGGCCACGAACTAACTCGCCATAGGCTATGGACGAAATTGCCATCAGAAACAGGGCCACGGGGACGTTGATTCCCGGACTCAACAACAATAGGTAGGGCATAAAGTATGTTGCCATAGACAAGGAAATAATTTACCATTAACTATGAATTAAGTTGCCATCGGCCACAAATTAAGTTGCCGTCGGCCACATACCAGATTATGGGCATCTTCTTCGTCAGGTCGGGTTGCCAGAGTGGAGTAGTGGAGTGGGGGCGGTGGCAACTCGCTGGTGGGGGAGTAGGCGGGGTTGTGGGCGTGGGAAGTGGTGATGGTGGGCGTATGGGCGGCCGTGGTGGGCGGGGAGGTGGGCGCCAGGAGGGGCTCGGTGGACTCCTCACGGTGGGGTGGGCCCAGGTGGGTCCGGGCCACCAGGTAGGCGTCGGTGTCCAGCTGCTCGTCCTCAGGTGGGGACCAGTCTGAAATGGTGGTAGTGGTGGTGGTGATTGTGCTGGTGGTAGTGGTGGTGGTGATTGTGCTGGTGGTAGTGGTGGTGATTGTGCTGGTGGTAGTGGTGGTGATTGTGCTGGTAGTAGAAGTATTATCGCTTGAGGAGGAGGAGGAGGAGGACTGCCTGGTGTTATTTGGTACAAGGCGCAAGTCCCCCATCGAAGTGAGTCGAAACCTCACAGAGAAAATGGATTAACCCCTACATTATGATTTAGGGGTAACTCTTCACAATTTCAACTACTCCAACCCACCGACAGATTCAAGAGTAGAGAGAACCTAAAAGTAACTCTGGAATAAGGGCACTAAATTATTGAAAGTTGATAGGCGTAGGCCAGGAGCTAAAGGAAAGGGAACTATCAGGAGGAAAACGACAAGCTATTAGGAGTACGAAGCACTTGGACGGGATCAGGAGGAGGATTTGGGATGAGCTGAAGCTTATCTCCAAGCTGAATCACAGAGTTGGACAACACTCACCTTGCTGCGGGTGGGGAACACGGCCCTCCTCTACGCTCAGGTGCGGCACCCCTTGAAGGAGCTGCTGTGGCAAAACCTCCTGCGGCGGCGGGGGCAATACGACATGCGGCTGCGACTGGGGTAAGTGGCTGTCTCCGGTAGCCTGCGGCGCGTCCTGGAACTGCGGCGGAGCCTCGGGATAAAGCCGCGCGGGCACGCCGTCGAAGTAGCCGCGGTTGGTGACGATGAGGGAGCGCAGTTCCAGGTACTCGACGTCCGCCTGGATCATGGCGTCGAAGATGTCGGTCAGCTCCTGGAAGCAAGGTCTCCTGGCGGGCTCTTCGGCCCAGCACTGGAGCATCACGTCGTACCTGGCCGAGGACGGGGTCAAAGGTCATGGTGAAAGCGGGTCTCGCCCTTATCAGATAGTGGAGCACAGAACGAAGGTTGAACTACCGAGGCATAGGGGCTAGGGAAGAGGTAGTAGGAGGATGAGGAATAGGAATGACGCAGAGATATAAGGGATAAGAAGGATGCATGGTGGTAGGAGAAGGAAGGCGGAAGCTAAAGACATAACCAGACCGAGGAATGGGTAAAAAATAAAAAAATAATGCAAATTCAAATACCTAAACATCGACCATTTGCTTCTTGAAAAATAGAGAATTTTTGTTATTTCCAAAGATGCCTCCCGCTCTTCTCCTTCGTTTTCTTCTATATAGAAAGCACGAAGCTCTCATTTCCCCAATTTTTTTTTTGGTTAAAATATGCTAATATTTTATCTACAAAAAAAACTTGAAACTGTGATCTTTCCTTTAGCTGTATAATCGCCACTTTTTGGTTTAGTTTTGCCTAAAAGCTGTAACTTCCTTCTTCAGTTCACTAGAAGCCTCAGTGTCTTGGGTCTCCCGGAAATATTGATATTTTGGTCTTAATACTGAACTACTGTACAAAGATTCTTGCATAGGCTACAATAACTTGGTTTTATTCATCGACTACAAGATCTTGGACATACCCACAGACTACAATATCCTGGCCCATCCCCAGAATACAATATCTTTGCCATATCCTGGCCCATCCCCAGAATACAATACCTTTGCCATATTCTGGCCCATCCCCAGAATACAATACCTTTGCCATATTCTCGCCCATCCCCAGAATACAATACCTTTGCCATATCCTGGCCCATCCCCAGAATACAATATCTTTGCCATATCCTTTTGACCCTTACATCTGGTCTGACTCTTAGACTACTTACAGCTCCTGGGAGCAGTTTTCCGGCTTCTCCATGCGGTAGCCGGCCTTGAGCAGGGAGAAGAGTCTCTCAGGAGTGACCCCGGGGTAAGGGGGAGTGCCCAGAGTGACCAGCTCCCACAGTAGCACCCCGAAGCCCCACACGTCACTCTTGCTGGTGTAGACGTGGTCCACCAGGCTCTCCAGGGCCATCCACTTGACCGGCACTGTGTCAACAATAGAGTAAGGCATATACTGAGCAGAGAAAGGAGGTAAACAATGGAGTAAGGCATATACTGAGCAGAGAAAGGAGGTAAACAATGGAGTAAGGGATATACTGGGCGGAGAAAGGAGGTAAATAATGGAGTAAGGCATATACTGAGCGGAGAAAGGAGGTAAATAATGGAGTAAGGGATATACTGGGCGGAGTAAGGACATTCTGAACACAATAATGGTTTGAACTCATTCAAAAATATTAGCTACAGTGAATAGAACAAAAGGAATTACAAATTCAAGTATGTTTTTTATGTGGAGTAAGTCATGTCTATGTGGAGTAGCTGAGGTCTGTGTGGAGTAGCTGAGGTCTGTGTGGAGTAGCTGAGGTCTGTGTGGAGTAGGTGAGGTCTGTGTGGAGTAGCTGAGGTCTGTGTGGAGTAGCTGAGGTCTGTGTGGAGTAGCCGAGGTCTGTGTGGAGTAGCCGAGGTCTGTGTGGAGTAGCCGAGGTCTGTGTGGAGTAGCTGAGGTCTGTGTGGAGTAGCCGATGTCTGTGTGGAGTAGCCGAGGTCTGTGTGGAGTAGCCGAGGTCTGTGTGGAGTAGCCGAGGTCTGTGTGGAGAAGCTGAGGTCTGTGTGGAGTAGCCGAGGTCTGTGTGGAGTAGCTGAGGTCTGTGTGGAGTAGCCGAGGTCTGTGTGGAGTAGCTGAGGTCTGTGTGGAGTAGCTGAGGTCTGTGTGGAGTAAGTCATGTCTATGTGGAGTAGGTGAGGTCTGTGTGGAGTAGCTGAGGTCTGTGTGGAGTAGCTGAGGTCTGTGTGGAGTAGCTGAGGTCTGTGTGGAGTAGCTGAGGTCTGTGTGGAGTAGCTGAGGTCTGTGTGGAGTAGCTGAGGTCTGTGTGGAGTAGCTGAGGTCTGTGTGGAGTAAGTCATGTCTATGTGGAGTAGCTGAGGTCTGTGTGGAGTAGCTGAGGTCTGTGTGGAGTAGGTGAGGTCTGTGTGGAGTAGCTGAGGTCAGTGTGGAGTAGCTGAGGTCTGTGTGGAGTAGCTGAGGTCTGTGTGGAGTAGCTGAGGTCAGTGTGGAGTAGCTGAGGTCTGTGTGGAGTAGCCGAGGTCAGTGTGGAGTAACTGAGGTCTGTGTGGAGTAGCTGAGGTCTGTGTGGTAGCTGAGGTCTGTGTGGAGTAGCTGAGGTCTGTGTGGAGTAGCTGAGGTCTGTGTGGAGTAGCTGAGGTCTGTGTGGAGTAGCTGAGGTCAGTGTGGAGTAGCTGAGGTCTGTGTGGAGTAGGTGAGGTCTGTGTGGAGTAGCTGAGGTCTGTGTGGAGTAGCTGAGGTCAGTGTGGAGTAGCTAAGGTCTGTGTGGAGTAGCCGAGGTCAGTGTGGAGTTGCTGAGGTCTGTGTGGAGTAGCTGAGGTCAGTGTGGAGTAGCTGAGGTCTGTGTGGAGTAGCTGAGGTCTGTGTGGAGTAGCTGAGGTCTGTGTGGAGTAGCTGAGGTCTGTGTGGAGTAGCTGAGGTCTGTGTGGAGTAGCTGAGGTCAGTGTGGAGTAGCTGAGGTCTGTGTGGAGTAGGTGAGGTCTGTGTGGAGTAGCTGAGGTCAGTGTGGAGTAGCTGAGGTCTGTGTGGAGTAGCCGAGGTCAGTGTGGAGTAGCTGAGGTCTGTGTGGAGTAGCTGAGGTCTGTGTGGAGTAGCTGAGGTCTGTGTGGAGTAGGTGAGGTCTGTGTGGAGTAGCTGAGGTCTGTGTGGAGTAGCTGAGGTCTGTGTGGAGTAGCCGAGGTCTGTGTGGAGTAGCTGAGGTCTGTGTGGAGTAGCTGAGGTCTGTGTGGAGTAGCCGAGGTCTGGGTGGAGTAGCTGAGGTCTGTGTGGAGTAGCTGAGGTCTGTGTGGAGTAGCTGAGGTCTGTGTGGAGTAAGTCATGTCTATGTGGAGTAGCTGAGGTCTGTGTGGAGTAGCTGAGGTCTGTGTGGAGTAGGTGAGGTCTGTGTGGAGTAGCTGAGGTCTGTGTGGAGTAGGTGAGGTCTGTGTGGAGTAGCTGAGGTCTGTGTGGAGTAGCTGAGGTCTGTGTGGAGTAGCTGAGGTCTGTGTGGAGTAGCCTGAGGTCTGTGTGGAGTAGCTGAGGTCTGAGGTCTGTGTGGAGTAGCTGAGGTCTGTGTGGAGTAGCTGAGGTCTGTGTGGAGTAGCTGAGGTCTGTGTGGAGTAGCTGAGGTCTGTGTGGAGTAGTCTGTGTGGAGTAGCTGAGGTCTGTGTGGAGTAGCTGAGGTCTGTGTGGAGTAGCTGAGGTCTGTGTGGAGTAGCTGAGGTCTGTGTGGAGTAGCCGAGGTCTGTGTGGAGTAGCTGAGGTCTGTGTGGAGTAGTAGCGAGGTCTGTGTGGAGTAGCTGAGGTCTGTGTGGAGTAGCTGAGGTCTGTGTGGAGTAGCCGAGGTCTGTGTGGAGTAGCTGAGGTCTGTGTGGAGTAGCCGAGGTCTGTGTGGAGTAGCTGAGGTCTGTGTGGAGTAGCCGAGGTCTGTGTGGAGTAGCCGAGGTCTGTGTGGAGTAGCTGAGGTCTGTGTGGAGTAGCCGAGGTCTGTGTGGAGTAGGTCTGTGTGGAGTAGCCGAGGTCTGTGTGGCGTAGCCGAGGTCTGTGTGGAGTAGCTGAGGTCTGTGTGGAGTAGCCGAGGTCTGTGTGGAGTAGCCGAGGTCTGTGTGGAGTAGCTGAGGTCTGTGTGGAGTAGCCGAGGTCTGTGTGGAGTAGCTGAGGTCTGTGTGGAGTAGCCGAGGTCTGTGTGGAGTAGCTGAGGTCTGTGTGGAGTAGCTGAGGTCTGTGTGGAGTAGCCGAGGTCTGTGTGGAGTAGCTGAGGTCTGTGTGGAGTAGCTGAGGTCTGTGTGGAGTAGCTGAGGTCTGTGTGGAGTAGCCGAGGTCTGTGTGGAGTAGCTGAGGTCTGTGTGGAGTAGCCGAGGTCTGTGTGGAGTAGCTGAGGTCTGTGTGGAGTAGCCGAGGTCAGTGTGGAGTAGCTGAGGTCAGTGTGGAGTAGCTGCTCCACCAAGACTCACCTCTACCCTTGCTCCTCTTGAAGTAGAGGTCGCCCTCGTAGACGTCTCTGGTGAGGCCGAAGTCGGAGATCTTGCAGACCTTCCCCCCCGCCAGCAACACGTTCCTCGCCGCCAGGTCCCGGTGGACCAGCTGTTGGGGAGGACACGGGTGAGTGGGAGAGGACACGGGTGAGTGGGGGAGGACACGGGTGAGTGGGAGAGGACACGGGTGAGTGGGGGAGGACACGGGTGAGTGGGGGAGGACACGGGTGAGTGGGGGAGGACACGGGTGAGTGGGGGAGGACACGGGTGGTGGAGGACACGGGTGAGTGGAGGAGGACACGGGTGAGTGGGGGAGGACACGGGTGAGTGGGGGAGGACACGGGTGAGTGGGGGAGGACACGGGTGAGTGGGGGAGGACACGGGTGAGTGGGGGAGGACACGGGTGAGTGGGAGGACACGGGTGAGTGGGTGAGTGGGGGAGGACACGGTGAGTGAGTGGGGGAGGACACGGGTGAGTGGGGGAGGACACGGGTGAGTGGGGGAGGACACGGGTGAGTGGGGACACGGGTGAGTGGGGGAGGACACGGGTGAGTGGGGGAGGACACGGGTGAGTGGGGGAGGACACGGGTGAGTGGGGGAGGACACGGGTGAGTGGGGGAGGACACGGGTGAGTGGGGGAGGACACGGGTGAGTGGGGGAGGACACGGGTGAGTGGGAGAGGACACGGGTGAGTGGGGGAGGACACGGGTGAGTGGGGGAGGACACGGGTGAGTGGGTGAGAGGACACGGGTGAGTGGGGGAGGACACGGGTGAGTGGGGGAGGACACACGGGTGAGTGGGGAGGAGGACACGGGTGAGTCGGGAGAGGACACGGGTGAGTGGGAGAGGACACGGGTGAGTGGGGGAGGACACGGGTGAGTGGGGGAGGACACGGGTGAGTGGGGGAGGACACGGGTGAGTGGGGGAGGACACTGGTGAGTGGGAGAGGACACGGGTGAGTGGGGGAGGACACGGGTGAGTGGGGGAGGACACGGGTGAGTGGGGGAGGACACGGGTGAGTGGGGGAGGACACGGGTGAGTGGGAGAGGACACGGGTGAGTCGGGGAGGACACGGGTGAGTGGGGGAGGACACGGGTGAGTGGGGGAGGACACGGGTGAGTGGGGGAGGACACGGGTGAGTGGGAGATGACACGGGTGAGTGGGGGAGGACACGGGTGAGTGGGGGAGGACACGGGTGAGTGGAGGAGGACACAGGTCCCCTTCTCCTCTCCCAAATCACCCTTCACTATCACACACACAGAGATCACAATAGCGTGATGCATCAAATGAACAAATCCAAAAGGGCCTTTTACCCTGCCGTAGCTCAGTCGATTAAGGCAGTGTCTGGGTTGCTCCCGGACGCAGGTTCGAATCCTCTTCACGGCCCTTGTGGATTTGTCCACCCTTCACTATCCTTGTTTCAATCACGATTGATATTTCCCCCCCCCCCTCATAATTCCCCCTTCCCTTGATTTACCTTCATGTCTGTGAGGTAGGCCAGACTCACGACCTTACCTTCATGTCTGTGAGGTAGGCCAGACTCACCACCTACCTTCCTGTGAGGTAGGCCAGACTCACGACCTTACCTTCATGTCTGTGAGGTAGGCCAGACTCACCACCTTACCTTCATGTCTGTGAGGTAGGCCAGACTCACCACCTTACCTTCATGTCTGTGAGGTAGGCCAGACTCACCACCTTACCTTCATGTCTGTGAGGTAGGCCATGCCCTTGCAGATCTGCCAGGCGAAGGAGAGGAGGTCCTTGGGCGTGATGGTGTAGTCCCCGGCGGAGCCGTCCACGGGACCGGAGCCCACGCGGTTTTCGAACTCAGCGTGACGGGATCTTTTGAGGTAGTTCCTGCAGGAGGAGGCGGAGGAGGACGGGTTGTTAGAGGAGGTTGTTAGAGGGGGAGGTGGGTACAGGGGTGTTGTTGTTGTTGTAGTATTAGGGGGGGGATGGGGGTGATATGGGGTGTTGTTGTTGTAGTATTAGGGGGGGGGATGGGGGTGATAGGGGGGGGGTGTAGCAGCAGGGGAGGAGAGGGGGAGAGGGGGGGGGTATAGGTGAACAGCGATTTGTTTATGTTTGCTGGTACTCTGGTACTCTACTGACACTCACGTACCCCTGGCACTCTACCCACTCACGTACACTCCTCTGCACACTCTCATATTCATCCCCTTCTCCTGAACCCCCCCTCTATCCTCCCCCTTCGCCCCTCTCTCCTCCCCCTTCCTGGCCTCACCTGAGGGACCCATACTGGCAGAACTCGATGATGATGTAGATGGGGCCGCCCTTGCCCGTGCAGGCGCCCAGGAGCTTGACCACGTTGGGGTGGCAGACCTCCTTCAGGAGAGAGTACTCGGATAGCAGGTCCTGGAGCTCCACCTGTGTGCTGTTGGACTTGAGCATCTTGACGGCGACGGTGGTGTAGCCTGCGACGGAGCAGTGAGGAGTGAGTCAGTCAGGGAGACGGAGAGGGAGAGAGAGAGAAGGAGATAGAGACAGACAGACAGAGAAAGAAAGAAACACGACAAAATTTATAAGCCAGCAAAGACAGGTGAGAAGAAAATATAGATATATAGTGTGACGCTGGGTGTGGCGCCACACCCACGAGGTATGGGCGCCACACCCACCAGGTATGGGCGCTGGGTGTAGCGCCACACCCACCAGGTATGGGCGCTGGGTGTGGCGACGAGGAGGTGGAGGAAAAATCAGCAGCAAAAGAAAGAAAACTGAACCAAAATAATAATGGGGGTAACTTACCTAAATTGCCTCCAATGCCTTGCGCCTTGGCTTTCATCACCTTGCCGAACTCCCCTTCTCCTAGCGTCTGCTCGATCACCAGGCGGCTCCGAGGGAACTCCCACCTGCGATCGATCTGAGGGGACACCTGTACCAGAGATGTGGTGGAGTAAGTGATCCGGAAAGTCACCAAACGTGTGTCACATATGTGCCAAGCTGCCACATATCTGAGGGTTTGGGAAGACCTCAACCCGCTTGTCTTGAAGAGACGGAAACAACGAGTGACAATCCCAGGGGTGTGGGATTAGGCAACTGTTGTGAATAGCATCTTCCTAAAAGGTCAGACGTTATACCCTTGGATAACCTCAATGACCCCCTAACAGGCTTCCTGTCTCCAACACACCTCGCCCTACCCAGGAATCGAACCCGGGACAGGACCGTGACATGGCTGCTTCACGAATGCAAAATACAGAATGGTAATACAATATGTTACCTGAAGTGGTAGCACTCTATATTCTCAACTTGTGGTAGAGTTAGTGAGCAGATACTCATTAGAGACTGAGTAGATACTCATTAGAGACTGAGTAGATACTCATTAGAGACTGAGTAGATACTCATTAGAGACTGAGTAGATACTCATTAGGGGCTGAGCAGATACTCCCTGCATCATGGAAGATGAGGCGACGTGTACTCACAGCGACGTGTACTCACCGTGAGGTTGAGGGCCGGGACGAGGCTGTGGTCGGGGCGAGGCGACGCCCTGATGCCGTGGATGACAGAGTCGTGTGACTCGTCCCGGGTGTTATAGGGCAGGGAGGAGGACCGCTCCTCGCTAGGGAGGGAGCCCAGGGAGATCACTCCACCCTTCTGCTTGTCCTGCCTGCTCGCTCGACGCCTGTAATGGCGAAGGGCAGTTAGCAGGTGGGTGTGTTTATGGGGGATGTGGGCGCGTGAGAGTGTATGTGCGGGTGGGGGGTGTGAGTGGGTGGGCAGGGGAGTGGGTGTATTAAGCTGTATGTCTATGTACGACATGGTGATGTATAGACGTGAATGTAGCAAGTGTGAAGGGTGGGTTATGCATTGTAATATAACTCTGAAATAATTAAGTTTGTCAATTATTATTAAAGGTGAAGAAATGACCCGAACTTGTGTAAGTGTATTATTAAACAGAATTTTCGGATGAACTTACACTCTCTATCACGGTAGTGTAAACAGTTTACATTACCTTGATAAAGGTTGAAGGTTCATCGGAAAATTTGTTTTAATCCAGTACTTGGGAAAGTGTATTATTAAAACAAATAATACACTTTCCCAAGTTCATTCCATCCAGCGGTCGACCCCAAAGACGCATTCATCAATTTTAACATTCTTGAGGTTATCTTGAGATGATTTCGGGGGCTTAGCGTCCCCGCGGCCCGGTCCTCGACCAGGCCTCCTTTTTGTTACTCACCCCCAGGAAGCAGCCCCTAGCAGCTGTCTAACTCCCAGGTACCTATTTACTGCTAGGTAACAGGGGTATTAGGGTCAAAGAAACATTTTGCCCCTTTGTCTCCGCCTCCACTGGGGATCGAACCCGGAACCTCAGGACTACGAATCCGAAGCGCTGTCTACTCAGCTGTCAGGCGCCCCTCATTACTATTTTGAATGAACATGCTGTTCATTCAAAATAGTAATTTTCTCAAACATAAATTAATATTGTTATATAAAAGTATAGCCCAATAACTTCCACCTTTCAGTAGGCTATCGATAATACTTTTAAGTCAATGGTCCTCCAAAATATTAGCCAAATAATTACGCGTACTGTGTATACATGACATTTGGTCAATATTATACATCAATTTATATTTATAATTATACAGTACAGTACAGGAATACCGATACCGAATACCAACTATGGTATTTGTGCTTGGGGCTCTACTACCCAAAATCATTTACGTCCTCTAATTACTCAACACAAAGCTGCTATTAGGACAATATCCAACTCTGGCTCCAGACATCACTCGGTACCCCTACTCAAATCTCTGAATATGTTAGATATTAAGTCACTGCACATTCTCTCATGTGTATTATACATATATAAAACGCTGAACTGTAATGCCAATCCTGACCTCAAAAGATTCATTGAAGGTTGTAACAGAACCCATGAGCACTACACCAGAAATAAATACAGTTTTGATATTCCTAGAGTACGACTTAATCAAACTAGAAATGCTCTACAGATCAAGAGACCCAGAATGTGGAATGACCTTCCCAACCATGTTAAAGACTGTACCTCTCTCAACCAGTTTAAGATAAAAACGAAGCACTACCTAATACATTCCCTGTAACCTACCTTACCCCTCTGTTGTCAACCCATGTCTGTTTTTTTTCTTCAAAACAACGCTGTTTGAATGTAATTGTCTGTAATAATTTGTAATTGTATTTGTGCTGCTTTTTCAGCCATGTTCCTCCCTCTTTTACCTCTATTTTTATTTGTTCTCAACACATTTTATTCTTTATACCCATTAGTATTAAGCTTTAGTCATTATTTTTTTTTTTTTGAGATATATACAAGAGTTGTTACATTCTTGTACAGCCACTAGTACGCGTAGCGTTTCGGGCAAGTCCTTAATCCTATGGTCCCTGGAATACGATCCCTGCCGCGAAGAATCGTTTTTTCATCCAAGTACACATTTTACTGTTGCGTTAAACAGAGGCTACAGTTAAGGAATTGCGCCCAGTAAATCCTACCCGGCCAGAATACGAACCCATCACATAGCGCTCGCGGAACGCCAGGCGAGTGTCTTACCACTACACCACGGAGACTGCTACCACTACACCACGGAGACTGCTAATGTTTTTCCTGCCCGAAACGCTTTGCGTAATAGTGGCTTTAGGCATTGTATGTACTAGCTCTATCTATTAACCCAACAAACTTTGTAAAATCTCTTGTATGTATGTACCTTACCTAAATAAACATTTATTTATTTATTTATTTATTTATTATTTAGTAAAATACTTCAAGTTAGCCGTACCTTAAAAGCTACATATTTTCGTTTTCTATCATGACATAATGAGAGAAAACGTGAACTTTAGAACCGTTTAAATGACTAACAATGATAATTTAATTAAACATAAAATACATGGAACAATGTTAAGAGTATTTAGATATATATTAAAGTTACTATTTTTTTGTTAAAGAGGAAACAAATAGCCCTAATAACCTACACACAACTTGACACATCCCTAACACAAAATGGGGGGGGGGGGGGACGTTTGACAAGCCACCGGCGTCCTGTCCTCACCGAGGCCATTATAGAGTGAGATGGTGACCCTCAGGTAAATTGTTGTAATGAAGGTCACACTATTCCGGTCACCATATGGTCACCATTCTAGGCACCACAAGTCCCCAATCTGGGCGCTACAAGTCCCCAATGTGGGCACCCGAGTCCCGAATCTGGGCGCCACAAGTCCCCAATGTGGGCACCCACAAGTCCACAATCTGGGCCCCACAAGTCCCCAATCTGGACACCCCAAGTCCCCAATCTGGGCACCATAAGTCCCCAATCTGGGCGCCACAAGTCCCCAATCTGGGCGCTACATGTCCCCAATCTGGGCACCACAAGTCCCCAATCTGGGCACCACAAGTCCCCAATCTGGGCACCACAAGTCCCCAATCTGGGCGCCACACCGGACATGACGAGCTAGCACTGTGAGGAGGAGGAGGAGGAGGACCTGAGAGACGACTAGGGAACACACAGACCTGCAGAAGACGACGCAGGCGAGGGTGAAGGCGAGGAAGGCGAGGGCGGCCACACTCACACCGGCTTTACACCCACTGCCACACTCCCAGGCTGGCTCTGTAGGGGAGAGAGAGGTGGGGGAGTTAGTACACCCACGGTGGTCATGTTCTAGGGCGCGGCCCATGGTGGTGGTGGGAGATGCCCACTGAGGGAGGGGAGGGGAGAGAGAGAGAGAGAGAGAGAGAGAGAGAGAGAGAGAGAGAGAGAGAGAGAGAGAGAGAGAGAGAGAGAGAGAGAGAGAGAGAGAGAGAGAGAGAGAGAGAGAGAGAGAGAGAGAGAGTGAGAGAGAGAGAGAGAGAGTGAGAGTGAGAGAGAGAGAGAGAGAGAGAGAGAGAGAGAGAGAGAGAGAGAGAGAGAGAGAGAGAGAGAGAGAGAGAGAGAGAGAGAGAGAGAGAGAGAGAGAGAGAGAGAGTGAGTGAGTGAGTGAGTGAGTGAGTGAGTGGTGAGAGAGAGAGAGAGCGAGAGAGAGAGTGAGAGAGAGAGAGAGTGAGAGAGTGAGAGAGTGAGAGAGAGTGAGAGAGAGAGAGAGAGAGAGTGAGAGAGAGAGAGAGAGAGAGAGAGAGAGAGAGAGAGAGAGAGAGAGAGAGAGAGAGAGAGAGAGAGAGAGAGAGAGAGAGAGAGAGAGAGAGAGAGAGAGAGAGAGAGCGAGAGAGAGAGAGAGAGAGAGAGAGAGAGAGAGAGAGAGAGAGAGAGAGAGAGAGAGAGAGAGAGAGAGAGAGTGTGTGTTTGTCAGTATAAACACTGTATTATGCCCCTCATACCGCTGCTGTGGGAAGTTAGCAGAAAGATCACAAACTCACGTAATTGATTCAGAAACCACAAAGCCACTTTCATTTACATTTGTGGTGAGCTATTTATTTAAAAAAAATATATAGAGAGATAGAATTCGAGTAGAGCAGGCAGGACAGCGGTGCTTGGTACGAGACACACAGGTACTCTAAGTTTACAGTGTGTGTGTGTGTGTGTACTGTCCACAAGGGGGTACACTGAGAATACTTGCCTGGGATTCTGAGTAATATATTACACCAGATTATACCATGGGGCATTTCCTCAACACTTGTGATAGAGATGTTACCAAATTCGTGGATTCTTCACATTTAATTACATAATGACATAAGATATGTGAATAGATTTACTGAGACAGTTTGTCTTTGGTCAGAACTACTTCAGCAGTACTTGTAGACGAGCTTCTAAGCCTAGCAGTAGGAGCCTCCAGACATCTGCTGACCTTAACTTGTGACGCAGAGATATGTGTCTCTTCCTGCATAATACTCCAATCAATGGCTACTAGAATTCAACACCAGTAAGTGCAAGGTAATTAAAGTGGGAATAGGAACATTATATCTCTCTCCAGAGGGACATATCAATAACGTCCGAAGCATTCTCTAAAATTGGTGGCATTCAACACTCAGTGACCTCAACAAGAAGGCATCCAGAACAATGTACATCACCTTCGTGAGACCAGTCAAAGATCATGCAGCCAAGCAGTAGAGTCCTTGTGTGCTTTGAGTACTAGTGGCTTTATTAAATATACATTTTATGCAACACCTACTCAAATATGTGTGTTATGTAACATCTACCGCGTTCTGCACATTTTTTTTAAATAAAAATGATTATTGATATTATTATTGTTAATATCATTATTATTAATATTAATTAATATTAATATTATTATAATATAATATAATATAATATAAATATATTATTAATACTCTCGTCCCGCCTCTCCTCCTCCTCCTCCTCCTCCTCCTCCTCCTCCCTCCTCCTCCTCCTCCCCTCCTCCTCCTCCCCCCCCCCTCCTGCCGACCTTGGGTGTTGATCAGCCCATAATAAAAGGGGTTTACAATGTTACTCACCTATTTGTACTCACCTATTTGTGCTTGCGGGGGTGAGCTTTGGCTCTTTGGTCCCGCCTCTCAACTGTCCCAACTGGTGTACAGATTCCTGAGCCTACTGGGCTCTATCATATCTACATTTAAAACTGTGTATGGAGTCAGCCTCCACCACATCACTGCCTAGGCGAGGCTCGGGTCCTTAGTCCACTGGGAGACTCCAACCTCTCACCCGACCCCTCACGGCTCCTCCAACACTCCAACCACGCACGCACGCACGGACGCACGCACGCACGCACTGAGGGAGGAGGAAGATTGGAAGGGATGGAATGAAGGAAGGGATTAAGAAGCAGGAGCAGGAAGGAGACAGAAGGTAAATACAGAAGATACCAATAATATAGAAGAAAACCCGTCAAGAAATGTTGATGATGGCCGGGTGTTGAGCCGTAAACAAGCTGCTCCATGACACACGACCCCTAACCACGCCATTATACACTACCAACAATCATTAGGTAGTTACGTCCTTGGAAATGTTCCTTTGTGAACAGTGCACGGCACAACTGTTGATTGATAGTTGAGAGGCGGGACCAATGAGCCAGAGCTCAACCCTCCCACAAGCACAACTAAGTGACTAGAACTACTTACTTCCCTAGTTATATTCACCTAGTTGTGCTTGCGGGGGTTGAGCTTTGGCTCTTTGGTCCCGCCTCTCAACTGTCAATCAACTGAGGTACAACTGTGTGTGTGTGTGTGTGTGTGTGTGTGTGTGTGTGTGTGTGTGTGTGTGTGTGTGTGTGTGTGTGTGTGTGTGTGTGTGTGTGTGTGTGTGTGTGTGTGTGTGTGTGTGTGTGTGTGTGTGTGTGTGTGTGTGTGTGTGTGTGTGTGTGTGTGTGTGTGTGTGTGTGTGTGTGTGTGTGTGTGTGTGTATATGAAAGAACATAACAATACAGGTGTGGTGCACTATAAGTGCAACATGACTACAGTAACAGTTGCGTGAAACAAAACACTCTAATAACAGCATACAAAATGCACACACACTCTACAGGGGAGTGGCCACCACACTTGCCCCCCCCCCCCCCCCCCGCCACACACCAACACCAACACCTGTAGTAGGAGTATTAACCACAGACCTTCCTTCCTTGACCACCACCACCACCACCACAACCACCACCACCACCACCACAACCACCACCACCACCACCACCACCACCACAACCACCACCACCACCACCACCACCACCACCGTAATATTTGGAAATGTCCCCATTTTATCTATTATTCCAGATAGATTCAATGCCAGGTAAACTTGGACTACCTTCTAGAAGATTAAATACAAGGGCCTTAAGCTCAATAGATCAGCGTAGTTCTAACTGGTTAAGTGGACACTTAGCTGCTGTTTCATCTCATCTCATCATCTGTTTCATCTCACGGAGATGAGATGAAGAGTCTGCAACAAGCATCCGGCAGACGCATTTCGCTGTGTATCCTGCCGTCTTATTAAGAGAAGAACGTACACAAATTACCCCCATTTAAGCATCTGCTAAAGATGCAAGGTCTCCAAGGCTCATTTTGGCATTCCTATTGGGGGGCCAAGACAGTCCCTGGCCACCTCATTTCGGCGACAATCCCTGAAAAGACACTCTGGGGGATAAGATGGACACTTGTTCGAGGTTATCTTGAGATCTTGAGATGATTTCGGGGCTTTTTAGTGTCCCCGCGGCCCGGTCCTCGACCAGGCCTCCACCCCCAGGAAGCAGCCCGTGACAGCTGACTAACACCCAGGTACCTATTTTACTGCTAGGTAACAGGGGCATAGGGTGAAAAAAACTCTGCCCATTGTTTCTCGCCGGCGCCTGGGATCGACCCCGGGACCACAGGATCACAAGTCCAGCGTGCTGTCCGCTCGGCCGACCGGCTCCCTAAGGGGGAATCACCATCGCCCTGTAACCTGAACGAAGGGGAAAGGGGAACTATCAGGAGAAAGCGCCAAGCCGTTAGGAATGTTTAGAGCCCATGGCAGGAGTCAGGATGAGGATTAGGGATGGGAGGGAACGGCAGGAATGGTGCCCAATCACTTGTGGACGATCGGGGGGATTGAACGCCGATCTGCATGAAGCGAGACCGTCGCTCTACCGTCCAGCCCAAGTGGTTGTGGTGGTGGAGTGGCACCTCTTCAGTGACACAGTGCCCAGGAGCACCTCAAAGCCGCGGTGTTCCGTAACCTGGAACAAGTACCGCCTCTTTTCCTGGCGCACCACAAGGAGCGCACCGGGAGCACTTCAAGGAGCGCACCAGAAGCACCACAAGGAGCGCACCAGGAGCACCACAAGGAGCGCACCAGAAGCACCACAAGGAGCATCCCAAGGAGCACCACAAGGAGCATCCCAAGGAGCACCACAAGGAGCATCCCAAGGAGCACCACAAGGAGCATCCCAAGGAGCACCACAAGGAGCGCACCAGGAGCACCACAAGGAGCATCCCAAGGAGCACCACATCATCACCAAGACCTTGGTGGACGCCTCCAAGTATGAGGAGCTCGGCCGGGAGGTCCTCGCAGACTTGAGAATGGTGACATTCCAGACGGGTCTCCACGGTGAGGGTTACCTTGAGGTGCTTCCGGGGCTTAGCGTCCCCGCGGCCCGGTCGTCGACCAAGATTTACCAAGCTTCCCCTGCTATCTTTGTCTTCGGGGGAGCCCGGACCCCGAGACTCACTACCCCAGGCGGCCCTGTCCACAATGGGGGGGAGGGACAGGGGTCAAGGTCTGTAGTCATTTATAAGGACAGGGGTCAAGTGGGAGCCACCACTGGTGACCCCCTGGAGGGTGCTCAGATCACAACTGTCCATCAAACTGGGCCTTAAGAAACAATCTGTCACAGTTGCTGATTAGAAGTCGGCAAACCTTTAAAACTTCTTCCTTAAGCTGTCTGAGACAAAGGTCAAAGCTGGTGTCTTTGTCAGATCACAGACAGAGAGCTTCCTGGAGCGCAAGAAGCTCACCAGGAAGGAGTAAGCGGCTCGGAATACCATTGCCGCAGTGACTCAAGGCATCGTGAAGCCAACATGCAACATGGAGCTGCTTGAGTGAAGAGTAACAGCACAGGGTTGAGAATTAGAATTAGGGATGTCCCTCCACGTCCATACCTTTGATATGGGTCACTTCAAGATCATGGGAGAGTACTTGGAGGAGTGAGATGATATACAAGACATATATATATATATATA